TGTGCTCTCCTGCTGTGAGTCGGTTCTAGTGCTGTAACTTCCTGGCTTGTTTAAGTCAGAGTTCCCCTTTGTGCCTAGAGCATCCTCTAAAATGAGCAGTGAAACGCCTTCTGTGTCATCCCAGTGTCCGAATGTGGGGAAATGGAACATCACAGAGCAAGTAAAGATTACAAAGCGTTTCTTCCTCTTCCCCCACCCACCCACAAAAAAATATCCACTCTGGAGACCACACTGCAGTTCAGGATGATTATTTGACCTGGTTTCAAAGCTGTTGAATGTTTTTCTGTGAAATGCACGCTTAAGATTATTTTTTGTTTAGGCAAGCCTGTCCAGGCATGTAGTTATTGATGTGTTTTATCCTTTTCTCGCTGTTCATTTTAATTCTTTTTAAATGCATTTGAATTGCTTTTAACTGATAATTTTAATAACATTGTTTAAACTGTTTAGAAGTTTTTATTACAGGCTTTTTTATTAGAGGTTTACTAGAGGGTTATTCAGAGGTGGTATATAAATTTTGTTAAATAAATAAGTGGCGCAATCAGCATTCAAGGTCGCGCAGGGCCTACTTGGTAGAGGCACCATCCCCGTCCACACACTTCTGCATCGTCACTTAGCAACGAGTCATTTTCGCAAAGGCCAAATGAGCACCATTATAAAACCGCGTATAAACGCAAAACGTTTGCACTGTGCTAAAGTGGTGCTGGTACTTTTCTCCCCACAGGTTAGGCGGTGGACAGGATGACGCCAAGGAGATTATGCAACACAAATTTTTTGCTGGCATCGTATGGCAAGATGTGTATGAAAAAAAGGTATTCAGAGTTTTGCATGTTGGAAGATGTGATTTGTTGGTGCTTCACAGCTGGAGGCAGTAATGTAAACCAGTAAACCAGGGATTGGGAACTGCAGGACGGTCTGTCCCCGTCCCCCCCTTCCTCATAACCCATGGCTTTGCTAGTGTGGCTCTCTGCCACCCTCTAGTGTTCAACACCCACAAAAGTTTATAGCTGGTGTGGCTGTTTGTTAGCCGATCAAAATGGGCTTTTTTTGGCTCACAAATGGGCCTTTTTGGCTCATGTAGTGACGGCTGTTGGATTCAGCGGCCTTGAGGATGGTTCCTTGATTAACATTTCACTGAACGTTGCTGTCAGCATGGACGTTTCCAAGTATCATGCCATTCAGGTTAATTAAAAAGGCCTTGTGCAATCAGATGGGAAAGATGGTTTACAGTTGCCTTTGCCCCCTGTGTGTCAGCATCTTCCTCCTGTCCCTGTTCAGAGCCCATAAAACTTCCCAGAGCTTATCCTGCTTCCCTTGTCTCCAAGCTTCTTGCAGAGAAAAACAGAAGGGGTGAGTCAGGTTCAGTGAGTGCCAGCCATGCCATCATTTACCTCCATTTCTGCTTTGCATCTCTTTTTAAAAAACTGGCTCCATGTCTTGTTGCATTTTTTGAATGTTTCACAAGGAATTTAAACACTTTAATAGCTTAAGTCCCTGGTCGCTGCCCTGTAGGAGTTTTCGCACTGCGGTGCTGTAGAGTTAAAGGCCAAGCTTTGTGCATCTTTACATAGCATGCTTCAAGTTGAAGCCTTAATATTAAGGAGACCAGAATAGTTTTGCAACAGGCTGTTCTCTCTCCAGCCGCCACCCCCAACTCCACGTTCACGCAAGAACTCCTAGGAGTGCAGCTGCATTGTGTAAGCAGATACGGGGGTGTCCCCATTGCTTGCACTTTGGAAAGGCCTTTGCTCAACTTTCTGGGTGCCAGTAGTCTCCCGTGTAGGTAACCTGCGACATACCGTGGAACCAAAATTTCAGCTGTCTTGTTTTCTGCTTCCTGGTTGATGCCTCGTCATTATGAATTCAGATCAAGCCTTGCTGGCTCTCAGGTTGCGTTGGGAAGTGGTCCAGCATTTTTATGAGTACGGAAAGTACTCTTATTCCATGCAGGCATGCACAATCAACAGAATTATAATGGCAGAATTCCCTCTCCCCCCCCCAAGACCCCCCCCCCATTGACCTTTTCTTAACACATAATAGTGGTGGCTCAGCTTTATCTTCTTCTGCATAGGCTTCTTCTCTTTTTGCCCATCTGATGCCAATACTGCTTTGATCCTAGGGTGGCTGACCAGTGGCCCTCCGGACGTCACTGAACTACAACTCCCATCAGCCCCAGCCAGCATGGCTAGTGCTCAAGAGAGGATGGGGGTTGTAGCCCAGCAATGTTGGAGGGCCACAGGTTCTCCATCCCTGCCAGCCCCCACTAGCCCTAGGCGGGACTACCACTGGCGAGGCACAATGTTGTTTGACTCCAACTCCCATCAGCCCCTGCCAACATAGCCAGTGGTCAGGGATGATGGGAGTTGTAGTCTGGAAGGCACCACATTGGCTACTCTTGGCTTAGCATTATGCCATAAATGGAGCCGTGTGGCCTGCGCTGGGACATAGCAGTTTTATGTGAGCAGGTGGTTATGTATAAACTAGTTGCGCTGTTTTCTAAAACTGACAGTATAATCACTTGGCTTTTTGTCCCTAACCTTTTTCGTGGACCCTAACCTTTTTCCCCATCGCTTCAGATTGTGAATTAAAACAAACAAAAAAGTTAAAACAACATAGACATATTTAAATTGGTCAGCATCACGCTTTAAGGTCCATCTGTCTCCTCTGTGGGGTCTTGAGCTCTAAACGACCCACCCATTGTCTCAAGTCCAGTACACCAGGCAATCATTTAGAAAGTGGGTGAAAAGCCAGTTCAGGTGCCAGAACTACATTATGCTAAGTGAAATCAGCAGAGTGAGTTAGCCATTTTTAAAGGAGCGAAACAACCCACCCACCCCTGCCAATGGTAAATTTTGATGGGGTTTTTTCCTCTTCCTTTCTTCCAGCTCATACCACCATTTAAACCGCAGGTGACATCTGAAACGGACACGCGCTACTTTGATGAAGAATTCACAGCACAGATGATCACTATCACCCCTCCTGATCAAGGTAAAAACTGCTGCGGTTGTCATTATAAAGACTTACATCACTCTATATCACCAGGTTTGTCTTAATGAAAGGATTGCCTGCACTGACAGGGACTCAGCCAGTATCTCCCAGAAAGCAAAGACTTAAATCTAGTTCTCAGGAGTTTTATCGAAAGGGTTGGGAACCTCTGGCTTGTAGGCAAATCTCAGCCCACCAGGGGGTCCATGAGGGCTCAACGTCAGCCCAATGGTTAAGAGTGGTTCAGATGTCAACTGGAGGAGAGAAGGATGCTAAATTATGCACATCTTTCCCCAACCAAGTCAGCCATGATTTAACCCCCGCCTCCTTAGTTGTTGAGCAGGATCCCATGAAAACCTGTTCCTGATTCAGGAAGGATATTGCATTGAAATCGCCTACAAAAATAAAGGTTTTTCAACCAGCTCCTGTTTGAACCTCTGGTTTTACGAAGTCCAAACAGGAATGCTGGGCTGGTTGAAAGTCGTTCTGCAGGCTCCCTTCTTTAGACTTTGTTTGGCTTCACCTTCCTGTTCCCAGCTCCCATCTGCTCCAGCCAGCATGGCCAAGAGCCATGGATGATGGAAGTGCCCTGGGAGGGTCCACAGTTCCCCATTCCTTCCATTATTCTTGCCTCTCTCTTCCCCCTTTGTTGGCTACCGGTGTAGACTTAGCTTCTTGAGACAGGGAGCCACAGTGTGTGCGTTCTGAAGTTACCCGGTAAACTAGGAGTGGACAAAAGAGAGAACGAGAGCTACTTGGAGATCACTGGGAGGAACAATTGCAACCACAAAACTCCTTTTTGCAACTCTATTAGGCTGCTAAGGTAAAGAAAGGTTAGGAACATAGGAAGCTGCCTTAGACCAAGTCAAAACATTGGTCCATCTTCCTCAGTGTGTACACTGAATGGGAGCATCTCTCTCAGGTTTCAGGCAAGGGGTCTCTCCTGGGGATGGCACAGATTGGACCTGGGACTTTTCTGCATAAAGCCCCTAACCCGGAGCTAACTCCTGTGTGAAAGGACTGTGAGCTCAGTTTAGTTTAATGATTCCCAGCTCGGAATATGCTCAGAGGACCCTGTTCTTTAATTGTAGTCTTCCCTGTTCTACTGGTACAGTCAAGGCCATACTCGCCGTCACAAACTGATACAGGAGAGGGCTCTGAGCACTTGTTTATACAGCTGGGTTTCGGCTCAAGAGCTCAAGTTAAAGCATTTTAGCTAAGGAAAAATAGGGATTTTGGTGCAGTTTCAAACTGCCTGCACAGTCAGTTTTGGGTTTGGGAAACCCATTCCTTTAGTAACACAACACATCTTTTTGCATCTAGCTCTGGTTAGTAGGTCTTGGGTAACCAAAACAAACTAAAACAAAGTAGACCCGACAAGCCTGAAGTCTTTAAAGCCTTGCTTGTAAAGCATTGCACGCATTGGTATCTCGGCAGATTAACAGAATGCTTTCTTTCTGCTTCCAGATGACAATATGGATTACGTCGATAGCGAGCGACGACCGCACTTCCCTCAGTTCTCTTACTCGGCCAGCGGAACGGCTTAGTGTTTCATTTATCCATTCACAGGAACCAATCAGACTGCATTTTGGGGACCTTATAATTTCGACGGACACTAGAGATCTCTCTACGATACATGATTTGCAAACTATGTTTGTACTACAGTTTAGTTGAATTTGTAGGAAGCCTCACAGGTTGTGTATTTAAAACAATCCTGATGCATTTTTGAATCGGAATCTCTGAAGCAATTTTGAGGAAGGAAGACAAAGGAGCCACTCATAGAGCGCAATTAAAAATGTAAGAAAAAGGCTTTTTCTTCTGAAAAACGACCTTTTTTGGTTTTTAAGAATATGCACCAAAACTGTTTTCTTTCTAGCAGTTTCAGATTTTCCATTATTATTTGGTTTTGGGGGGTTTTTTTGTGGAAAACTTTATTAAAAAGTTAAAAAAGAAGTTGTTTAAGGTTTTCAACCTAGCAGCAGCAGCAGTGACCATTTGAGAAAACCTCTTTTTTTTTAATTTATTGCATACCATTTCATTATGTAAGTAGTGAACCTGCACTCTGAATAATTAGATATATTTAGGATGAGAGACAGATTTAGGTAGTGCAATACAAGCAACAATGCAAAAAAAGCCGGAACAAACTCTGGAGATAGCAATAGGTTCAGCCGCTATTTGGACAGAAACGAAACAAAAAAATGTCAGCAAAGTTAAGATACTAATTATAGGAATGGCACTAACAGCCTCAATGAGGTAAAATCAGAACCGATATACCACACCTTCTTAAAAGACAGTACACAGTTACATATCAAATGGAGCTGTATGGAACTGTATATTTTGCAGTGCACTGGGAGGTAGTCTACTAAAGGCAGTGAGTTTTAATTATTCCATCTGAGTGGATTTATCTAGGTTTAATCTTGCTGAATACCAGCAGATATCCACGGGCATTTTCTCTTGCCATGGGCCACGTTGAAACCAGCAGAAGTCGTACAAGGGTCTTTCTGCACTCATCTTCCCAGACTATATTCTCATCCCAGTTTCCTACTAGTTGTGCCTTGGGGAAACGAGCCAGTTTTACCAACTTCAACTGGGGAAAAAACCCAAAACCCAAATGCTTCTTAGTTGCAGAATTGACCAGCAGAGAGAGGGGTGAGCAGGCATGCCTGTATATTAAATGACAAAAGGAAAGGGGGGGGGGGATGCCGACAGCAACCGCACAATATTCTTAAGCGACGAAACATCTTGCCAAACGAGTTGACAAGTCAAATTTCAGGCACCGAAGCCATAGCTTTGTTCGTGTATTTATAAAAGGCAGTTCTAAAAATGGGAACGCGAAATGCACGTTGATATTACTACATCCATGTGTTCCGTCACTCGCTTCAATGTACATTTTTAATGATTATTTTTAGGGGGATGGGGAGGAAAGCTCAGTGGCGACACCAGCACTTGGATCCAGGGGTGGGGAATGTGTGGCCCTTTGGAGCACTGTTGTGCTCGCTCTCAGGGGCCGAGGAGCATTGCGATCCAACAACATCCATGCGCCTGCAAGTTCCCCATCCCTGGTGAGGAGGAAGCTCTGCCTTTTGCAGCTGCAGATGGGTGTAAAAGAAGAAAAATTGGGTGAAACTTCCCCGTGTTCGAAAAGCGAGCTCTCTCTTCCCCCATGCCCTGCCCTTTATTATCACTTCGTTTTGCATTTTCACAGAAGCCACCTCATTTTGAATCTGCCGGACGTTTGTAACTAAATTGTCTCTTTGCCTTTTGACACGGGCCAGGATTTCTGAACGCTCGCTTGTGCCGCGAATGAGTTTATTCAGTTGTGGCTTTATGTTCTTTTTAGATATGCTTTTGTTTCTGTTCTCTTATCTGTGCAAAAAAGTTGATTGAATATACTGCAGTTCCTTAACACCTTTTTTTTTAATTTGAAAGGGAATGTACCCTCAGTTTTCCCTCTACATGAAATCCCATCATTTTGTGTGTTCTTTTTTGTTTGTTTTTTACAACATTCAACTCTAGTATTTTTACTTATGATATGAAAGTTTCCCTCAAAATACTTCAATAAAATGTGCTTTAACAAGTTAGCTCGGGCCTTGCCTTTGGTGGAACAATGCAGACTTTTGAAAGAGCAAAACTGGATGCACCTTTTTCTCCCTGCCTGCTGTGCAGTGGATTTGGGAGAGCCTTGCTAAAGGCTGAATTATCAGCCTGTTATAAGAAGGTGGGGGCACACAAGCTGTTGCCAAGGAGCTACAGTAGAAAAAGGAGCAGACCGAGGTGTGTGTTTGATTTTACATTATATGTACAAATATATATACCTGCCCTCAAAGACGGGGGGCGGGGAGAGGCGAGAGCTCGACCATAATGAGAACTTCGCTTCCAGCAAATACAAAATGGGAAGTGTTTAAGGAGCATCTCATTAGCAGCAGGTCTTTTGTCACAAAGACCCCACGACCAGGAGACTCATCAGACTTCATACAGAGATACGCAAGAAGCCATGCTGCTGAGCTCAAGCGAGTGAGTGTGAAAGGAGGAGGGTGGGAAGGGGGAAAGCTGGTCAGGGGAAACGGGGCCGAAGCTTGAGAAAAAAGTCTCTCCAAAGAAAAAGCTGCAACAAAGGGTTCACTTGTGCAATAAAATCTGGCTGAGAGCAGCATATAGGGTTTTTTTAAACACACACACACATGGCAAGCTTTCAGATCCAAAACCTGCTTTACAAAAGTGGATTTTTACTACTTGGACATAAATGTGGCCGCTCTAGCTTGAAATAAAGCTTCTCTGATAATTAACCAATCCCAAAATGATGCAGCCTGCTATAACTCTCCCTCAGCATTTTCTGTCTCGACTTTTTCCTGATGGGTGTCCAATGTGAAACTGATCTTTAAAAGTTAAAAGTACCTAAACTTTCCTACTTACCTGTTCCCTATTTAATGCAACCGGTGTCATGAACAACCACTTGGCATCATTTATGATATGACTCGTGACCACTTAGTGTAGTATCAGGAGAGTCTACAAGTTTGTGGTTGAGTCTCTTTGAAGGTTATGTGAGCAGGGTTGTTTCAGCTTTTCATGCATACCCAAACACTCTTACTTGGAAGGAAGAGAGTTAAAATAAGTCATATGAGTGGGTTTATAAAAATATATCTAAAACATTTAGATGGCTCATTTTTTTACTGCTAACAAACTGTTACTTAAGAACTGGGGGGTAGAGACAAACTGAATCTGGACGGTCTGTTTAGCAGTAGTATTGGATGCTGCAAACACGAGATGCTTAAATGATCCAAGCCACTGAAAAAGGAGCTTTTACAGTGAATAGTTTGAATCAAATTCGGACCACATCAAAGTTTAGGGCCATGGGAAGATGCTTTATTCAGTCAGATTACTGGCCCCTGTAGTTCACTTTTGTCTACGCTGTCTGGCAACAGTTGTCCATTTGTTTCAGCCCTATCTAAAGAAGCCACGGATCGAACCAGACTTAGCATCTGAAGAATGAGCTCTCCCTCGAGTTTCAGCCTTCTATTACGTTGCTTTTCTAAGGAATTGAATAAAACTCTTCTGCCTTATCAGAACAGATGCCAGCCAGGCTAGCCAAGTGCACCCTCCACAAGAGATAATATAAAAAGTTTATTCTATTAAAATTACAGTTATAGAAATATACACTATTTATAAAGCGGCACCCCAATGTCACAGTAGCAAGATGGAGGGTGGGCGGGAATTGTCCGGCTATTTAAACAAGTTCCTTTACAGATCCTGGAGATAATTATGTCCTTAAAACTTAGTCATTTCAAGCATTTTAGTCCTCAAACATGGAGCAGCCATTGCAAAGTATTCGCTCGCCAACGTCGTTGGACCTAGAAGAAAGAAGGTAACAGGCAATTCAGTGCATCTTTCGGTTCTGTACAGTTTAGGAAGAGAACACCGGCTCCACCTCTACCACATGCAAGGAAGTCGTGAGGCTGAATAAATTAAGCTGTGGAAGAAGCCGAAAAATCAAAGAATCGCCTTGCTGGATTAAATCGAGGCCCACACCAGAATAACCTGTACACGCAGGATGTATTTAGCTACGGTTGGAAACTGCTTTAAGAGATGTAGGTGGGCAGGTGTAACCGTGAACTCCTGCAACAAATTAAAACAATGGCACAGTTCTCATGCAATGCTAAGCCATACAATGGCTAGGCATGACTAAGCAAAGTGTGTGGATACTCATAGGAACATCATAAGCCTGCTTCACTCCTCCCCTGCTTAGTTCCAGGGAGATCAGCAACAGCAGGAACAGATAGTGTGTGGGTATTTGGAGGGGGGAAATCACTCAAACTCATTCATGCTTACTCATGGTTCAATTTCATGTTGGCTGCAGGAGAGCTTATTTATGTATATTCTTTTCCTCCCAAAGCAGCCCAGGCTGGGAAGCCTCCCTATTCGGCCCACAAGGCTGTTGGTGCCAAAGCCAAGCCCATCTCCTGTGAGCCTGGTAAAGGTTTGCTGCCTGGCAGAAGTGGGTTTTGCACACAGCGCTAATCAGCTGGTTGTCAGTGCTTGCAATGGCCTGTGCCCTTGCTCGCAAGTTTGATTTGCCACACTGTTAAAATAGCCTGCAAGGGCTGGGGACTTGGCTCGCTGGTGGTTGGAAGTGGTTCTCCAGCCTTGCTCCAGGGCATGAGAAAATTTCTGATGCCAATATTTGCAGGGAGTTCTGCTAAGCTAGACTGCCTTTCCCTCTCCTCAATTTTCTTAATTACCTAGGTTCAAATTACAATCCAAGGTTCAAAGGCCACTGCATTTATGACACAATGGGCCAATGCTTCCTTACAGCTATTGGCATATGTCCCACTCCAAACCAATTTTGCAAGGAATGCTATTACCAACCAGTTTGCTACATTCAGCATGCAGTGTGTCCCAAACCAACTGAAGGAAGTTTTAACTCATGCCTAGTCCGCACGGACACTTACTCTGTAACAGAACACAAGGAGCAAGCAACTACATGGCAACAGCTGCAGAGTCTGCTGCAGTTCTGGCATATGTGCCGATCGCACTGAGAGCAAGTTTCTTTGACGTCAACTGTTCTTACGCACGAGGAGCAGGCCGTGGAAACGCATTCCGGCAGAGCTGTGTAGAAATGTACAGATTCTATGTTAGAACAGATTTCAGCATCAAGTGTCAGAAAAAGCACCCATTTCAGAAAGCAGATCGCAATCTTCAAGCCATCTACGTAGAATTGTAGAGTTGTAAGGGACCCTGAGGATCATCAAGTCCAAGGCTCTGCGATGCCAAAATCTAAACTAGATGGTGCATACGGAATCCTATTCAGCTGCTATGAAGGGAGGAATTGTGCCTGCTGTTCTTCACAGAAATGCCGCAGACCACCTGAATATGCCCTGTGAGTCTCTGTTTGCTCCCTACGCCACACAAATATCAAGGCTTACAGTTCCTCCCTTCAGAGAAGCCCAACTGGAGCAAGTCAATTGCTCTATACATGCATATCACAGTTACACCAAACTTAACATTGCAACCCAACAGAAGAAAAGTGAACAGAAAAAGAATCCGCTGCACAGGTACTTGACAGCCAGCTAAATTTACTTACCTGTTTCTCTTGCACAGGGCTGTAGAAGTTTTCCATCCTGCCCAATTAACATTTGTCTGCTGCAACTAAGCCAAGAGCAAGCTTCTGGTCTGCCTGCATGCAGCTCTGGAGACTCTGCTCCCACCGTGCTGCCGTTCCATGTGTTATCCATGTATGCCTGGGCACCCCTGAAGAGCAGCTGTTTCGTTTTCTCTGCAAAAAAGGACAAGGTGGGAATGGTAACGGAAAACTATCTCGAACTGGTTTCCCACTCCACTGAATATCACCTTCCCCAAGAAAGAAAGAAGTCTGCTGTATCAGATTATGACATGCTCTCCTACCCAGAAAAGGGCTTCCATTTCAGAGGAAAGCAAAGAAGAAAGCTGCCTTGCAGAGTCAGAGGAGCCCATCTAGTTCAGCAAAGTTTATGCTGACTGGGAGTTGCAGACACCAAGGACTGAATCCAGAACCTGGCATGTTCTTAGATATCACAGTCATGAGTGATGACAATCCAAGCAAGTAATAACTACCAGCAGTAAGGATCTTCTCCCAAATTTCTTAAATGTTTCCATCCCCTTCCCCAAAGCAATTCAGCAAGTTTTTAGTTCTGTCAGGAGAGCATTGAGACTCTTGATCTCAGGGTCGTAGGTTTGAGCCCAACATTAGGCAAAAGTGTCCTGCATTCTTCTTCTTTGGCGACCACTCACAGCCAAGTAAGATTGTCTTCCAAAGCAGGGTTTTAGCAGTGAGTCCGTAAGTGACTGTGGAGGTCAATTCTGGATCCACACATTCTTCCACAGTGGGGAGATAGGTTTCCGGGCAGGAGTTGAGCATGGTAAGGGTTTGCCAAGCATGCCTTCCTCTTAGCACGTTTCTCCCTTTCTTCCTGAGTTTGAGTGTCTTCAAAGCCCATGACACCTTTGGTTTTGACCTTTAAAGCTCTATGTGGCCTAGGACCTACGGGGGTGCCTCTCCTGGTATGCCCCGCAGAGGACCTTAAGGTCCACAAATGACAACATTTTTCTGGTCCCAAGTCACAAGGTGGTTAAGGTTGGTCTTAACTAGGGCCAGGGCCTTTTCAGTACTGGCCCCAACTTGGTGGAATGCTCTGTCACAAGAGACTAGGGCCCTGCAGGACTTGACATCTTTCCGCAGGGCCTGCAAGACGGAGCTGTTCCGCCTGGCCTTTGGTTTGGACTCAGTCTGACCCTTATGTTTCCCTCCCCTTTATGATTTTGACTTAAAATGAGGCTGCAGTTTAAATTGCATTTTAACCTGTATTTTAAATTGTTCATTTTCTTTTTTCTTATTATGTTTTTACTGAAATTTTATTGGTGCTAATATTATTATTATTATTATTATTATTATCATCTAGAATAATAATAATAATAATAATAATAATAATAATAATTATTATTATTATTATTATTATTAGGTAAAGGCTGTTCTCCAATTGGAGCACTTGCAGGGTCGTAAATTCAAGCCCAACACTGGGCAAAAGTGTCCTGCATTACAGGGGGTAGGACTAAATGACCCTTGTGGTCCCTTCTAACTTTAAAATTCTATGACCACATCACAGGAGGAAAGGAAGGCTGCTTCTTTATGCTACCTACAGATCCCTTGCTAGGTTCCGAGAATGTGAAGTAGCTCAGAACTTGCCCAGATGGCAGCAACCCAAGGAACAGACCCTACTTTCCCAATACCGTATCCCCATCAGAATTCAATCCCCCATTATGAGAACACCAGCCCACATTTCAGTCACTGCTCATTACTCACAGGATAAAGCACTGACCCCAGATTCCTCTCACACAGGAACAAAAACAAACATATGCAACTCATCTGCACTTTGTATTTTATCAACTTATTATAACACAAACTCTTACGACCACCAGTTGCTAGTTAAAGTCAAGGGTCTTCTAATGTCCAAGCAACAGTTTATACAGTAATAAGAACCTGATTTCCCAACATGCACTGCATTCTTAGATTTAAACGTGTAATAGATATACCAGCTTTGACATTTAAAGGCTTTTATGTTGCACAGATCCCTGCAGCTGTGTTAGTTGTGGCACAAAGAACACTGTGGCAAAATTAGGGCATAGGAAATGCAGCGTAGGGTGAAAATGAGGGGGAGAGACAGAATATTTGTGTACAGGGAGGACGGGAGGATATATGCACCTTCCACCAGATGCGTGGCCATGCATTCATGTGCACAAAAGCAAAGCTATGTGGTTTCACACACAAAAGCACACCGATGTGTGATGTAGATAAAGACGCATGAATAAACATGCAAATAAAAAGAAAGTGAGGTACAATGGAGATAAAACCAAATTACCGTATTTTTCGCCCTATAGGGTGCACTGGCCCATAGGGTGCACCTCATTTTTGGGGGGGGGGGGGAATAAATAAATAAAAATTTATTTTCTTCCCCCGACCCCAGAACAGGCTGCTATCCACAAGCCTTGCGAGCCCGGCGGGAACTCCCGCCAGGCTCGCAAGGCTTGCGGATAGCTTCCTGAAGCCTGGAGAGCGAGAGGGGTCGGTACGCACCGAAGCCTCTCGCTCTCCAGGCTTCAGCGAAAGCCTGCATTCGCCCCATAGGATGCACACAGATTTCCCCTTCATTTTTGGAGGGGGAAAATGCGTCCTATAGGGCGAAAAATACGGTAATTAGCAAGGAGCTGGAAATTTTAAAATCACACTGCAGAATGTAACCAGGATTAAAGTTGGAAAGTGCAATGCAGAGTGGCTCTGCAGCAGGAGTCACCAACTTTGGGGGGACCTTGGGCACCACACACACACACACTCTTGCAATCAAGTACACAACTTATTCTATTGGTTAAAATAGAGTGCTGCTTTCAAGCCTAACTTCAAAGTGGAGCGGCAACCACAGCTTTACGGCAATGTTTATTTCTGTCCATTTCAATTTGCATGTGGTTTCCAAAGCAAGGGGAACTAGGCTGTCACAGCCTCCCCAGCAACTGCTTGTGCTTCCTTGACAGGTTAAAGAGAGAAAAAATATATCTCTGCTCCTTTGCTGAGTAGTACTTTAATCCTATTTCCCTCTTGTAAAAAGGCCCTGTTTACAGAACCCGATTCAGCATCCACAGAAGATGCAAGGCAAGCAGCACAATAGCATGACCTAAGCGCTAGTGTCCCCAAGGGAGGATTTTGGGGTAGAAGTCCAGAGCACCAAGGTAGCAGTCAGGAATCTCCCTCCCAAAACACAGCAGAGCTGGTCTGCCATGTGTTTCATCACACGATGCCCATTCCTATCCTAAAGAGGCGAAGGCAGTTAAGAGATGTCTGGAGTGTAAAAATTGCTGAACTGTACCAGTTGCCGCATCAAGCAGTTGGTCCCTTACCTTTCCCGCCCTGACCTGGCCACAGTGATCCATGCGACGGTCACCTCCAGGCTTGACTACTGTAATTCGCTTTACGCAGGGCTGCCCTTGAAGCTGTCCCAGAAACTCCAGTGGGTGCAGAATGCTGCAGCGAGGCTCCTCACGGGGTCTCTGCCATGGGAGCATATTCACCCAGTGCTTTTCCAGCTGCACTGGCTCCCGGGGAGTACAGGGTCAGGTTCAAGGTGCTGGTTTTGACCTTTAAAGCCCTTCACGGCCTAGGACCCTTGTACCTACGGGACCGCCTCTCCTGGTATGCCCTGCGGAGGACCTTAAGGTCCATAAATAGCAACACCCTAGAGGTCCGGGGCCTTAGGAAGTTAGATTAGCCTCAACCAGAGCCAGGGCCTTTTCAACTCTGGCTCCGGCCTGGTGGAACGCTCTGTCTCATGAGACCAGGGCCCTGCAGGATCTGATTTCTTTCCGCAGGGCCTGTAAGACAGAGTTGTTCCACCTGGCCTTTGGCTTGGAGTCAATTTGATTCCCTCCGCCTCTTTCTTTTTCCTTTCTCCTCCTGTGATGAGGCTGCATTTTAATTGTTTTAATGATGTATTTTAATCTTGTTTTTAAGCTGTATTCATTCAACTCCTTTTTATTATTGGTTGTTAGCCGCCCTGAGCCTGGCCTTGGCTGGGGAGGGCGGGGTATAAATAAAATTTATTATTATTATTATTACCACTAATTCCTGGGCATGTGCAGAGTGTTTTCCCTTCAGAGGAAACAAACACCCGGCAGGCTGGAGCTGTGTGCTTAGCAAAGGCTGGGAGATGTGGAGACGGAAGAATGTCTTCACACAACTCCCCCTTCCAGAATAAAAGGGGCTTTTGCTCCATTCTGCTCCTTCCCCCACCCCGCTGAAGCGTCCAGTTCTCGCGAGAGAATGAACTCAGTTCTCGCGAGAGTGAAACACTGGTCAAGCAACGGCGCCCTTGACCAAAGTTTCGTCCTCGCGAGAACACGGCTCCGAGACCCTCCCTCGCGCCCAACCGCCGCCTCCTCCTCACCGAAGACCTCGCGCCGGTAGCGCTCGCCCTGGACGCCCTGGCTCAGCTCCCTCAGCCTCACGCGGGTCTTCAGCTGCACCGGGGAAGAGTCCCCGAACGGGCAGGAGCGCTTCGGCATCCCCTTCCCCTCACGCCACGCGCCCAAGGAGACCAGCGGAACCAAAAGACGACGCCGGCAGAGAAGCGCTTGCTTTTTATGTAGCTGGCTGGGCCCTCACGCGCGGGAAAACAGCAGCTGCGGCGACGGCGACGCAAAACAAACTTCTTTCGGATCTCGCCGCCACGCACCCCGCCTACTTCAACGTCACGGCGCGTGTCAGCCAATAAGGAAGGACGCAGAGCGGCGTTGAAAGCACAGGTAGGCGGGGCAGTGGGCGGGATTTCTGACAGGGTCTGTGGGCGGGGCTCTAAGCAGGGGAACCGTAGCCCCGATGTCACCGCTAGGGGCTGGTGCCGAGGCTCTTCCGTGTAAGGTAAGTCGTACCGTTGCTATATATATATATTTGTAAACCGTTTTCTGGCTTTTCTTACGATCAGACGCTGAATAAATGCTTATGGAATAAAATTTTCTATTTCATTAATAAAATGAAAAATAAAATAATAAAATAAAAATTTCTATTTCATTGGGCTTGGCTTGTTGCGTTGCTGATTTCGTGAGATGTTCAATTAATTAAAGGGCGCAGCTGCGCACAGCTGAGAAGAACCTCACCAAGGAGTTTACTCTTCAAAATGTTGCAGCAAGAAAGTAACTATTCCCAAGCGCGGCTTCCTCCTTTCTTAAACCATCTTCTCCTGCACTTTGTGTGCTTAGAAACCACACTGTGCCCGTGTGAGCTCGTACCTGCCCCTCCTTGCTTTCAAATTAAAAACCTAGATTGAGGTTCCCTTTGCAAACCCTTCTTGAACATACATACCAGGGCAGGGGTAACTGGCCAGTAAATTGTACGCCTTTGAAAACTACCGTATTTTTCGCACCACAGGACGCACAGGACAATAGGACGCACTTTATTTTAGAGGGGGGAGAACAAGAAAAAAAATTTTCCCCCTCTCTGCCCAGCGCCCCTTCAGTGAAGCAGCAGGAGGCGCTGCACAGAGAGGGGGAGAACTTCCCCCCTCTTGTTTTCCCACTCTAAAACAAGGTGCCGTTTAAGGTGCATTCAGGCGGCTACCTTGGAAGCCTGGAGAGCACGAGGGGTCGGTGTGCACTGACCCCTCTCGCTCTCCAGGCTTCAGGTTCCGTTCGACCTACTCTTTGGGGCTGGCGGGGGGAAGCCCACCACCAGCCCCAAAGAGCAGGTCAGGGAGCAGCGGAAAGGCGCAGCGGAGAGGCTCCTGCCATAGCCGCGTGTCACCTCTCCAGCCGGGAGAGGGTCGCGGGGCTATGGCTTCTTTAGCCCCGCGCGCGCTGTCCCGGCTGCAGAGGTGACGCGGGGCTGTAGAGGCTCCTGCCATAGCCGCGCGTCACCTCTCCAGCCGGGAGAGGGTCGTGGGGCTATGGCATCTTCGCTCCATAGGACGCACACACATTTCCCCTTCATTTTTGAAGGGGAAAAAGTGCGTCCTATAGAGCGAAAAATACGGTATACAGAAACATCAACTGGTGCAAGGCACAGTAGCTAAATCTGGAATCTCTGCAAGATCTGGGGAGCACTTTGCCCCTCCCAATCTTTATTTATTTTACAATTTTTTTGTGCTTTTTTCTTGTATTTTGGGGAACTCAGCAGGGAACACATGGGCATATTTCTTAGAAAACCGGGGGCAGGGGGACTCGAGGCTGGTGCTTTGCCTTCCTCTTGGAAAGGGGTGAGCGTGAGGGGTGTGGGTAGCACAGCATAACCAGGTATTGAGTCAGGTTGTTGGTCTTCACCTGCAAAGCATTCCCTATGATGGGCAGTGGAGGTGTGCCAGGTGGCAGCCACTTCACATTCTCTGGCATCCTGCTGCTCCTGAATTTTCTGGAGTTCAATGGCTTTATTTTGCAGGAGCGGAATTACCCTGGCAGGAACTTTGGAGAGCTGAGGACTGAAGCCCCAGGTATGCTGCTCTAATGACTGTAGGAGGATTGTGCCGCTTTGCCTTCCCATTATTTTTTGTCTTCCTAGATCCTCTTCCTCTGCTGTCTTCTTTTGACTGTCTACCACAAACGCCAATCACTACTAACCTGATGGCAGACAGTTTGAGGTGGTACCCATGACATTCTTAGTTTTCCAAATGTGCCCTTGGGTTCTAAAAGGCTGGCGCTAAGATTATTTAATGAAACCAGCAACATGGAACATACATTTTACCAATGTTAACCACTGTTAAAAGATCTCCCATCTGTTTAAGGTACAATTCAGGATTCTGTTTTTCCTTTAAAACACAGTAGGTAGTAGATTAGATCAAGGACTATCTGCTCCACATTACAGACTGCAGCAGATATATTTTTATACTGGCGAGGCATTTGTATACTGGGGTAAACTATTTTCAGGTGTGGTTTTACTGATATTTTATGCTGCTTAGTTGTTACTGTTACAATATTGTGATTTATATTATGTGTTGTTTTGCATGATTGTTTATTGGTTACTAGCTACCCTGAACTCAAGATGGGAGGAAGGCCAGGATCTAAGAAACTTGAGTAAAAAAATATGGACCTGCCCAGTCATTAAGATCTCCTTCAGAGATTAAGGGCCTTTGCTGTGGATTTTCCCAGCTGTAGAACCCTTTCCCCAAAGAGGTTTCAGCTGAGCTTTTGGGACCATGTTAAAAGAGTTTCACTGACCTCTTTCTTCTACCACACACACAAACCAAGTTGATGTAAAAGCCAGAACTGCCCCTTGGACATACATTAGCTAATTTGCCACAGATTCTCATGAACAGCAGTGGAATATTGATCAAGATTTTCTGTGAATGCAAAAGAAGACTCAAGAGACCAAATTCTTACTCTTGTAAGGCTTTATAAAGCAAAGGAAAGAGCTGTAAGATAAAAGTGTACAGCCCTATTGACCATATACAAAAATAAATCAAGAGAACACTTCTAGTGCATCTGTTGAACTGTGTGCACCCAGCTAGTATCAGCAAGTGTGATATAGAGCATCATAAAAGTGTTATGCATGGAACCTGACCTTTTTACTGTAGTCCTTGCTGTGATGCACAATTAAGACATTTTCACTGTCTTGCCATGCTGTCCTCAACCCTATTAATTCAACCGTACCAATTTGCTTCAGGTTATGAATATTAAATGTAACCTGTGAAACTAATTATAAACAAATTTCAAGTGAATGTTCAATATAATATTTAACAGGATACCGTCAAGAGGGTAGCATGCATTGTACAGAAACACATTTCTTATGCTGCTTTGAATCACTGTGCACTGTAACATGATTCCCTAATAAATAAAAATAAATTGAATTTTATTCAGTGCTATTACTTACTGAGAACAGATTGCAATTAAAATAACTTAATAACATTCTTCATGGATTAGTTAAAACAGAATAAGGCTACAGAACAAAAGGTCAACTGTGATTTAGTGCAAACTAAAAAGCCTGATGTCATTGGGCATGATGTGCTAGTGAGTTCTTCCATGCCAGCTCCATTGAAGCGAATGTGATTTATCAAAGCAAAGTTCTTGCACAGCTCACATTAATTTCACTGGATGTTGCATGGGAACACTTCCCAGTAGGCTGTGGTTCATGTTGCCCCAGGTTAGGCCGCTCAACTGACACAGACTTTGGAAAGAGTTTAAGCATTCTATATTGCAGCTTTCTTCTGCAGCTGGCTTTCCATATAACAAATAGTCATCTATTGAGGATGCAGTAGCTCTGGATAGTCTATTGCAATCAGGAGATTGGACAAGATGGCCTACAAGGACCCCTCCTCCTCTTACAATTCTGTATGCATCTTGTTAGTAGCGTAAAAAAAATATGTCAAATGGGCAAAGATAATGGACTACAATGCCATTTCAAATTACAAAGCAGGAAGCAAGCCACAAGGTGCAGTAAGCCAGTCACTCCTAAGTGATTATAGAGCAAAGCTCTATACTGCAAGGCAAAAGGCCACTTTGGTGGACTTTGTCCGAATGCATATACGCCAAGGCACCATGGCTTAAGGGAAGAATTCCTGGGCTATTTGTGACAGCAACGAAAACTGACTTGGCAGTGGTCCTCCTGTCAATTAAAAGCGCTTTTACAAATTATTTAACAAAACTTTTAAGTCTGAAAGTTAAGTCAACATAATCTGTGAATCAGAAAGTTAGTCTTCTCAAAAGGGTGAGGCCCACCGTCATTCTCATAAAAACATACAAAAATTATTCCAGAGCAGTCTGTTGCAGCAAACACAAAGAACCCCTTGGCACCTTAAAGACTAACAAGTGTATCATTGAGTGTGGGCTAGAGCCTACTTTGTCGACATGAGGTAGGTAAGTATTACCTGCCATGTTACAACTGGCAAAACTAAGGCAGAGATAAGGACTAGGATCCAGAGTTGTAAAAGATTGTCCACAAGGTTTTTCAGCTCTCCTGGCAGCAGCCTCCGTGAGAGGATGCCACCAAAAGGAAAAAATAAGAGAAACCTTTGTGCAAGCACACACTACTCTGGATCCCAGGAAAGGCACTGGTCACAGTCCAAACCACCAAAGCTCATTGGTTTTCACTGGGCTTAGGCATGCTTAGTTCAGTGTTGAATTGTAACCATTAACTAATAAGCAGAAGGCAGTGAGAGTCAATGCAGTGCTCTCTGTTCCTGAGTTTCTATTAGTTATGAATAAACTATAACCTCCATTTCCAAGCGGTCCAAGGCAATGGTATTGCAAGGGGCAGGGGCCACAATCCCCCACAATAAAAACAATTCAGGAGCACCCAGTTGCAACACACCTTGTCTGCTTTATTTTAGAACTTGTTCATTGCATAATGGTAGACCTTCTGGCCTCAATAAGGTCAGAATCACAATATTAGGATCTGTATAGCCCTTTCTAGGGTTCAAGGCACTTCACAGGCAATATCTAGTTTTAATCCTTCAAACAACCTTGTAAGGCAAGTATCCTCTGTGGTACGGATGGATGGACAGAGGCTGACGCATCCTTTGCTACTGGAAGCAGTGACCTTAAAAGTGCATCCAGACCAACATTCACCATTATGTCATTCCAGCTTGGCACTTCATTGCCCCACAACACACTCATATTCATGGGGAACATGTGGTTGCAATGGCACAATTAATCATTAATTTTTTTAAATGGAGGCAAGCAGCAACAGATCCAAGCCCTAGGCCCTCTTCTTCACATGGATAACTACACAGAATAATAATAAAAAAACACACTGCTATTCTCCATGAACCAAAAGGATTCCTCCTTCATACACACTGCTTATTTTGCTGGGATTGGAGACATTCATTGTATTTAAAAGAATTGCTCCACAGTCCATAATAGCACAGCTCCATAGAAAAAAGCACTATCATTCTGTACTCATTATTTGAAAGGCTGATGAGGAGCCGCTCTAGTTAACTTGTTTTAAGAACATAAGAAGAGCCCCCTGGCTGAAGCAAGTGACCCATCCAGTCCAGCATCCTGTTCTTACAGTGGCCAACCAGGTCCCTACAGGAATCACACAAGCAGGACCCAAGTACAACAGACACTTTCCACTCCAGAACTGATATTCAGATGTGGAGACAGAACACTGCCATGAGGGTTAGTAGATGACGATAGATAGATATCCTCCATTAATCTATCTAATCCTCTTTTAAATCTACCTATTTATTCTGTTGGTGATCAAGCAGCACAGTGGCAAGTAATGTTGGTGGAAGGGAATCCATGCTATGGCTTGGCAACATAGGGTCCAAGACCAGGGATCTACTCAGCTGAAATGAAGGATGTAGTGAAGCCACACCCTGTCCATGTAGTGATGCACTTCAGGATGTTGCAAAGATTGGTTTCCCTGGGCATTTTCTTACTTTGCTGTGGTTGCTTTGTCCTTGTGCCTACTGCACAATGGCACAAGAGAGCACCATCTCTGAAGGACTTCATGTGGAGTGCCTATTGGGAAATATTTCAAGGGAAGCTCTTTATCCCTTAGGTCTGTCGGCTATTTCCAGTTTGACCCACTGCCAAAAAAAGGACTTAAGCTATTGCCTTCCTTCCTCCCATGACATAACTTCTTTTGCATCTCTTCACCCTTTATATCTGAAGAGCTTTTATTTCTAAAATAAGTAGTCGCTTTGACTGCTGGGCTTGAAAGAGAATTACTGAATTGTGCTGGCTTTTACACAAGTGCAGTGCTCCATAACCAGCACAATTTTAAATGCCACATACATTGAACACTGCCATATTATTGCTTCCTGACATAGTAATTGGAACCTCCTCCTTACACCTTCTGCAATCTGGAATAAACTTCACTACTGGTAGCAAGTTGAATAAATAATTCAGTGCAGGTTTGGCACTTTTTAAATGTGACCTTAAGATTCCCCTCCCCAAAATTTCTGTTCTTATTCTGTGTTCCTAATTTTTGGATACATTTACTTGAGAATATGACAAGTACAAGGCATGTCTAATCATAGTCTAGAAAGAACAGCATCTTCATCTTGGTTTGGGTACAGAAAGGAACAGATGTACAATAAACTGCTTCTTGGCACATATGTTCTTTGTGTGTTTAAAAGAGCTGGATCATCGATTCCCTTGATTTTCCAACTCCAACCCATTTCACTGAAGAGGAGAGAAATAAAAAATTATTAGAACAATTACTTGGGGAGTAAACAACATAATGGAATCTATTTTATGATGTAATCCTAATGTGTAGACCAGAGTCTTCAAGAGCAAATGAACTCAGAACTGCAGTGTAGTAGCAGATAGGCATTTTAACATTTAACAATTTATTCTTGTGATTTGCCTCTGAAGTTCTACAGACCTGCTTCATTTTTTAAAAGGCACACAAAAAGCTTCTCCCTGCCCACTTCCCCCCACCATGCAAATGTTATACATCTCAGCTTCCTGCTTACTCACTTTTCTAAACTAAAAAGCCCCAAATGCTGTAACCTTTCCTCAAATGGGGTTGCTCCCTCCCGTTGATTATTTTGGTTTACCTTTCTGAACTTTCCCCCTAATTCTACAATATCCTTCTTGAGGAGAGAACTACACACAGTATTTCAAAGGTGGCCATACTACAGATTTGCACAACAGCATTATGATATTGGCAGTTTTGTTTTCAGTCTTTTTCCTAATGACTCCTAACATGGAATTCACGTTTTTCACAGTTGGACAATGGGTTGACATCTTCATGGAGGTATCCCCTGTGCCTTGAATATATATTGTTCCTGGTCAGTGACTACCAGTTCAGATCCTGTAAATATTCAAAGCTGGCACAGGGATTTATTTACTTTTTACATGTTGTGGGGCAGGTGCCTTTTGGATAGGGAAGCATAGGAGAGGGGTCAATCACTACAAGGTTTTTCTAGAGTACTGCAAACAGTGCTTGGGAACCGCTGATCTAGTCAAATCCCCCCAGAGCTGGAACAACTTTTCTGCCCAACTGGAAATAATTTTGCATGGTTTGGTGGACACATGGAATGCCTCCTAGGAAGGGTGCCAAAACGATATGTACCTGCCACCCCAACGTGGTTCTCCACAAACCGAATGTAATTTTGTGCCTTAGGTGGAAGTTCCTCCCATTTTCTGGCACTTGTTGTGTCGGTTTTCCACCCTGGCATCGTTTCATACTCCACCTCCACTTTCTGCAGTATTTCCTGGTTAGCTTCAAAAATGAGACAAAGTGAGGATGTTTCTATAAGCTAAATGGTTGCAATCAACTGGCATGAACAAAATTCAAAGTGTAATTGGCTAAATTTAAACTAGATTGCATGAGACATGTCTGGCAGCTCAGAGGTACAGCATGTGCTTTGCAAACAAAAAGTTTCCTAGGTTCAATTTCTGAAGTCTCTAAGGAGGGCTGGGAAAGACTCCAACCTGAAACCCTGGAGAGCAACTGCCAGTCAGTGTCAATTGTGCTGAGCTAGATGGACCAATGGTCTGTCTGTATATAAGGACAACTTCCTATGTACATAGGGAATAATGGAGAGGGCATTTGGTTCTGTTTACCAAATTCTGGCACTTTTAAAAACAAATCTGAAGTCAACTCTAGAAACCTGTTGACACAAGCAACAGTACTAATCATATATTTGTAGAGCTGGGAGGTACCACAAGGGTCATCTAGTCCAACCCCCTACAATGCAGGAATCTTTTTGCCCAAGGTGGGGCTCGAACCCACAACCCTGAGATTAAGAATCTCATGCTCTACCAGCAGAGCTGTGTACATACACTTGTAATGTAGCAGTTAAAAGGAGGAAGGGGAGGAAGCCTGATAATAAACTATTTAAGCCATCGATACATACCTGGAAAATATGGAATTCTTTTGCCACCCAGCTTGTAAGCTACACCAATTTTGATTTCATCAAATACATCCAGAATATCCAGTTTTGTTAATGCCAGGCTGCCCAAAAGAAACATGAGGTAAAATTACATGTCAAACAAATCCTCACTCAGCACCTTCTTTAATCCCCTCCATCTGTCTTCATCTGAATTCATTCGGCCAAACTGAATGAATAAATATGAACACGAGTAATCACGGAATAAATAATAAATACGCATATTATAGGTACTTTAATAAACATTTTCAGAAACTTTGCAGAATATGAAGTCAAGCATTACATGCATGTATTTTAAAGATTAGGTAGGATTTGTAAGTATCAAATGCATTTTAAAAACCTGAATGCAGTGTGGGGGTGATTTTTTAAATTTCTTATTGATCTGCTGGAACCAACCCAAATTTGGAACCTCAAGAGCCGACTAGGAAACCACTTCTAGGGCATGCTCATTGGGCCAGTGCAAATGCAACTTGACCCTTGGGCTAAGGGGTTAGGGGCAGACCATGGAACTGCATGCCCTCTTGCTTCAAAACCCTCCTCTCTCAAGCAAGCATTCTCATCACCATGTTTTTCGGTTAGGTCAGCAGCCTATGAACCTTGGTTAATGCTAATCGCTGTTCCAGCTTAGCTAAACTGTGCAGTGCAGAGTGTGGTATCCCCTCCCTTAATCTTGCCAAACTGCCAAGCAACTCCATGTTCACCTGGCCATGAACACGGTTTCCTTTTGCCTTGCTCTTATCGACTGCTTCACTCCTCCTAAACATTGTGAGCAGTGTATATTGCAATCCTGTCAGCAATTCCATACAGACGGATATTATCATCCTTATGACACCTGGAGCAATTGGCTCTTATCAATGCACAAAACATAACACTTTGCTAAGCTAATCTTATCTTAATGTTACCTACATATTTGTACTCCACGGGATAAAAAGTTATGAGTTCCAAGTGTAGCTCAAAATCTGTGATGCTTACGCAGTGAATCCGTTGATCATATGGGCGTATCTCAATATGACAAGGTCAAGCCAGCCACAGCGCCTTTTTCTGCCTGTGGTCACTCCCCATTCATGGCCTCGGGACTGTAAGAGATCTCCCATTTCCTGCCAGAGACAAATATTTAGGTGAGATTTCTGCAACATTAATCCTAAGCATCAGGCGATCAATGTAACATATTTGTTTTATTTAAAACTCAACAGGTGTGTGATGTACTAAAAACCGGAACTAGAATTCTAATTTCCATACTAATTACCGATACATATTTTTAATCTGAATTATAAATTGTGTATTTTATCGCCAAATTTCTGCTTAATTGAACAATACAAATTAGGATGTTGGACTGTATGAGATGCCTGAATTTTAGCCCAGGAAGGAGAAATCTGATGGACATCACTGCATGTTTGCCTACCAGGGTTTCAAAAGAATGTGAACAGAAAAGATGGAGAAACACTACATACAGCGTTGAAAGCCAACATTAAGAATTGATGTAAAATTATTTTCTGAGTCAAAAATATTATTTCATCAATCACTTATTCTTATTTATTTTTATTATATGTCTTCCACACCATTAACAGAAATTCTTTGAGAGGTCATAGGATAAAGGATGCTCAATTCAGATAATCCTTGCCTCCAAATGAAAGTTGGAGGATCAGAAAAGAGCATCCTCTTCTGCAGTAACCAGAGTTTACCCCAACATTCAGTTTGGCAAACCTTAGTTAGCATTTGCCCTCCAAACCAGAGTCAGAAACCCTTTTGAAAGTACAGTTTATGCCAGTTTGCACATCACAGGAAACAGAGGAACACTGCATGTAAGAGCAGAGGAATGGGAAAGAGGTCACCTTGTTCACCACCTACCAAATCACCAGTTTGAGAGTATCTGAGCTTATACAGTGGAACCTTGGTTCTCAACTGGCTTAGTTGATGAACAAATTGGCTCCCGAACGCCAAAAACCCAGAAATGTTCCAGTTTTCGAACGTTTTTTGGAAGTGAAACGTCCAATGTGGTTGTCGGCTATTGTTTCCAGGGTGCCTGCACCAATCAGAAGCCACTCCTTGGTTTTTGAATGTTTCAGGATTCGAACAGACTTCCAGAACGAATTAAGTTCAAGAACCATGGTACCACTGTGTAAAGATTCTGTTTTTAGCAGCTCATTTTAATCAGTTGCCTTTGATACAGTTGGCTCCAATTATGGTTTTTTGGGGGGAGGGGGCTCTCCCCCCCCCCCAGCGCTATTGCATCCACCAACTAGTAGCTGCAGAAGCAGACAAATCCTACAGAACAAAAATTCCAAATTCAAAGAAATACTGATTCTGCAAGGATACTGACAGATCACTTTAGATTCAGATCAAGGATGACCCTGGCAACAGGGATACCTTAAACAGCAGAATTATGAGAGTACATAAGCAGTATATATAAGAAAATTAAAGCAGCCACAAGAGTAAAGTTATCACATAGGTGCATTTCTTACTTTGGAACGAAGCTTGAGATTTGTGTTGAATCTACTGCGGCCCCAAGATAAAATACGGCCCCTTGGCATAGTCTAGACATGTGTGCATTAGCAGGAGACCATCATCTTGTTACGACATTTTATCCCACTGACCTTATGTCTTTGCCTTTGGTAACACTAAACCTACATTTATCTGTTCAGTGGGAAAGGCTCCAATTCCCACTCTTGTTGTGTAGGCCTTCACTACACCATACACTTCTCCAATATACTGGGGAGGAATACCAAGCCCGGTGCACACACCGCCCACGGTGCAGTTGGAGGATGTCACAAAGGGATATGTGCCTGCCAAATGAAAGAAAGATGAATTACGCATGGGGGAAAACAAATGACTTTTGCTTATTCTATTTCAAGATGGCTTCTCATGTACATTGTTAGCTACTTCAAGGTGCTTTAAAATATGGGGATAAGGGACCCCTGGTCATATCAAGGAAGATGAAGGAATGCACAGCACAGAAGATGAAGCACGAGCAAAATTCCACATATATACGCTGGCAGAAAAGGACATACACCAGGGATGGAGAACCTGTGGCCCTCCAGATGTTGTTGGACTACAACGCCAAACATTCTGGACCAATGCCCAGACTGGCAAGGAGTGATGAAAGGTAGATTCTTAACATTTTTGGAGAGACACAGGTAACCCTTGCCCTTGCACTATACCCTGTTACAGAATGGGAGAGGCTGAACAAGTGGTTTAGTTGACTGATAAGAAGCTGTACCTTTAGCAGTGTAAAGTATCCTAACTCGCTCAAATTTTAGTAAGTTCTGACTTGGTGCACTCCTCTCAAGCCAACACAAAAATTATGTCACATCTCAGACATCTTCTAATATGCCTGAAGATTCATACAGGTGTCACAAATAAGCAGGGGTGCGTATGGAAGAAGAGCTCTGCCTATCCGGTTCAGCATCTTGTTTCCCACACTGGCCAGCCAGATTTCAGTGAAGGTATATAAAGTTTTGTCTCACCTTACCTGAGAAATAGGTATATAACCTTTCCTACCTCTGCACACACAGGAGATCTTACGGAGGCGGAAAAGTATTATGTTGTACAGGGAGACGTACCGAAATCAATGTCGAGCAGTGCTGCGTTGGCACCCTCTACAAGAATTTTCTTTGGAGAGCCGTGCAGCGCTTCATACATAAAATAAACACCATCTCGGACCATTGGTCTTATTTTTTCAGCATAGCCCTGCAAGATCCAACACATACACAAGGTTAAATCAAATGTTTCTAGAAGATTGGCTGCAAGTCAAGAACAAAAGCATACCAAAAGCCAAACCGGAAAGTAACCATTTCTAAACTGTTAACTAGGTGGAGGGATCTATCAAGAATAAAATCAGGGTAGTTTCCTGTAGGTTTCACTTTACTCAGGACAGTCACACATTTTCAGGGTAATGCCCAAACCGCTATACAGACAGAAGGGATAAAACCCAAGTATGGAAAGTGGTCTTCTGCGTTCACAAATCATTTTCAATGGAACTCATACTGTCAACATTCTATCTGGTGAAACTCAAGTGTACTTTCATCTTCTGAAATTTAAACATGCCAGACATAATCCCACTAATAATAATAATAATCATAATCATAATCATAATAATACTTTATTATTTGTACCCCGCCCATCTGGCTGGGTTTCCCCAGCCACTCTGGGCGGCTTCCATAGAAACAAAAAATACAGTAAAATATCACAGATTAAAAGCTTCCCTGAACAGGGCTGCCTTAAGATGCCTTCTAAATGTCAGGTAGTTATTTATCGCTTTGACATCTGATGGGAGGGCGTTCCACAGGGCGGGCGCCACTACCGAGAAGGCCCTCTGCCTGGTTTCCTGTAGCTTTGCTTCTCGCAATGAGGGAACCGCCAGAAGGCCCTCGGCGCTGGACCTCAGCGTCCGGGCAGAACGATGGGGGTGGAGACGCTCCTTCAGGTATACTGCAGATGCATATTCCTTTCTACTATGCCTTAAAACCCTAGCTGGCACATATGCAGAAAGCTCCTTGGAGCCCCACAACAGTCAGACTCATGAACGCCCACAATTCTCATTCACTGCTATGCCCTCTGCCAAGTATCCCCAAGCCCAAGTATAGGCAGGACAATTCAGGCCACATACATTGCTACAGAGGCAAATGGCCCCAAACCAAACTATCAGCCAAACCATAATGTCTAGGAAGTGTCTGCTCACAGTCTCTCCAAAGTGTTTTTGCACAACTCCCATTCATATTGTGGGGTTGCGCAGGAAAGGTTCCTAGTGAATTGTGACCACAGGTATTGTACAACAAGCAAACTGGTCCTGGGTATTTTAACAGTGAAAGATTTCAATCACTGTACTACATTATAGTGTACTATCTTTTCTAGGTAAAATATTTAAATACTCTGAGAGCCATAGAAAGCAATATACTGCATTCCACATACACTATGCTCTATCAGTTTCAAATTTCCCTTTCCATTTCAAACTCTTTTCTGTTTCATAGTCTTTGTTATTTATAGAAAATAAAAATCAGTTATATAATTTAGTTATATAACCTTGCTTTATTGTCTTAAACACTAAAGTATTACTAGTTTACCTTTAGTTTTTTTAGTTGTCCTTCTGTGTCAACTTCTAAAGAAGGAAACATCGACTTGTACTGGTGAGCAAGATTCTTAAATCTGTAAAATATCAACAATTTACTAGCACACATATTTTTAAAGTTGGGTCTTATTATATAACGACCTTTGGCTATAGGTCACACAGAATGCCACAAAACAAAAGGATTCTCTAAAAAAGATACAGGAGACGCATTTTCAACCTGTGAAGATGGACTGAGCAGTACCCTGTTAAAGCCAACTAGAGACCTGGTATCCAGGCACCAGTTTGTCTGAAATCGCAAATGACAATATCTATACCACTATTCCTTATAGCTTCCCAATTCCCCCTACCTGTGTTTAAGGGGTATAGAAGCAGTAAGAAAAAGATTTCACGTTAAGCAAAAATCCCCACCCACTTCTTGCCGTGTGCTTGAGTAGGATACCTTGAAGAAAATTCATCAAAGTCTGAAAGAAGATCACATATCCGAAGTCCTGTCCGTGCCGCTTTAGAAGAATAGGTTGGTCCAATCCCTTTCTTTGTTGTGCCAATACTAGTGAAAGAAGACAAATGAGTGGTATCAAGTCTTGAACTAAGAAGACTTACGGAGACACATACATTTTTAGAATGCATTAGAATAGAAATTGGTTGAAAGTATACTTTTTGCTTGACGACCAAAACCATTAAAAAACACCCTCCTCTCTCCTCCATTTATTTGCCCGTTTCTTTCTGTTCTTTTGGCTGAGATGTAAAGGAACGTGGGGCTCCTGTATTTTTAATAGTCATTAAGATTTACTGTATTTTTCTGTCTATAAGACGCTCCCATGTATAAGACACCCCCTATTTTTGGGGACTCAGATTTAAGAAAATGGGGGAAAATGTATCCGTGTATAAGACGCCCCCTAATTTTTGACCTTATTTTTTTAGAGGAAAAAATGTAGTCTTATACACAGAAAAATACAGTATTTTTCCCAAAGAAGCTGGCCATGCACACACACAAAAATAATACAACCTTCTTTACAATTACTAAAGATAAATGAATGCTGTCCTTTGTGTCTGATCACACTCTCTTGCTTGTTTCTCCATTTAAAATGAAGAAAATAGTGGCAGTACCACAGATGCACCCCCCCCCACTTCTTAAGTTAGCGCCTGACTCACTAGTTGAAGACCAATGGCACAATGAACTGAGACCAAGCACTCCTGAAGCCTGACTACGTGGATGAAACAGTGGTGGGAGCAGTAGCAGAAGTAATTACTCACTTTCAAATTACCCAAATGGCAGCCCTGCCCTTTCTATCTATCACCCTGTCTGTTTTCTCTTACAGGGCACTCTTATTCTGGAGCCCTTTTGACAAAAGTTGGCACAGAAATATAAACGATAAGCATAATGGGTAAGAAATAAATAAGACCTCCAGTTCTATGTTGCTATTTCGTCACATACTTGCTAACCAGATTTGTGGTGCTGTGGGGAAACCCAGTTAATTCACAGTTAATTTCCAATTTGCTCCCAATCTTCCTTCTCTGGACTTCACATCCACTAGGGGTCAGTCACTCTTCTTTGAGTCTGTGCTTCAGTTACATACTGTTAAGTGTGATTTCTTTCAGCAAGGGCATTATTAACAAAGTTTACACTACTGCACAACAAACAATGCACAGGACTAGAAAGCAGGGTACATAAAACTGACTTTTCATGCCGAACTGTATATGCCAACTTCCTATGCTCCAGTAGGTTTGCTTGTTTTCATTACTGCACTGCCAAATCTTTCAGAGCTGTTCTAAATAGGTCGACAAGGTATCACTTTCCAGCTCACTGACCTATCTACTATAACAGCCAGTACAGGGGCATGACAGGGTTGGACTGGGAGGAAGAGAAGCATGACTGCAAGCATAGCCTGGTAAAATGCTGGAAACCTTTGCCATCCATCATGAGTGGAAGACGGGTTTTGCTCCTAATAATGAGGAATTCACTTTTACTTGAAGCTGAATTTTCCCTACCACATGCTGTTCAGACACTGTGGGATTCTGGCATACATACAACCTATCTGGAAGATAAACTGCTGCAAAGCTTCATGAAGGAGATATGCCTAGGGAACACTGTTGGATCAGATTCCAACTACAGAAAAGAATGCATCTCCTTCTGTGGCCTGCCTGGGTGGGTTGAGACTAGCTATGAGCTGGACTACTTGCTGCATTTTTTATCAAGTCTCAGGGTGTGTACGCAACATTATTTCCATAGAACCATGAGGGCAGATTCCCACATACTGCTACACCTTATCTGATCCAGGATTAGCAGTAGCTTCAGTAGCTTTACAAATATAATGGAGGAGAGGGGGAAATCCCAGCTGCTCTTTTTCCCAATTGCAGTTGCTTCTCCAAGCCAATCAAATAGTGTTGAATTTGACTAGACCAGATTGCAAATATCTTTTGGTCTAGTCAACTTCATTATTAAGGGAAACCTCTTGACTGCCATACCTCAGTTTTGTTACCTCTAATATATAGCTCACATAGAGAATCAGACAGGTATTCCAACACCATTATATCTGCCTCCGGACAACTTAATGTCTTTTTAATGTCCAAGTTGTGCAGGATATCAATAGTGCCCAAATTTCTCATAACTAGGAAGCAACATGTTGCCATTTCTGTGTAGTGTTACGAAGGAAGAGCCACCATGTTCTAAGATGCAGGACCTGTAGCAGAACATCTTGCATGGAGGTGGAAGAGCTAATGAGAAGAGTGGATATTGACCCAGGGACAGCCATCATCCTCAGCCTAACCGAGCTCATGAGCATTGCTAACAAGCCAGCTATTTTCTCCAGAACAGAAATAATTTTTTCTTTTTTTATAGACTCTAGATGACACTGATGTCAAAATGCCTCGTTCCAGTGTTTTTTGGCAATATCCCCAATCTTTTGGGGCACCTATCATTGATGCTGATTTCATGCAATGGCAGATGGCCTTTGGAGTCTTTTCCAACTCTATGATTCTATGATTTCCTGAACTGATCCTTGACTTATTTATTCTGTTAAGCCAGATAAATTGTTTATTTTTTAAAAAAACCACAATTATATGCTAGTAGGTACCAAGAACTGAAAGTTCAATTCAGAAATACCATGGCTGATGTGAAAACAATTAAAGGGCTAGGAGTGAGTAAGTGGAACCACTGTTGAGCAAGACTTACTTTCAATTAAAACATACTAAGCAACAGGCTTTGTGGGATTTTTATGGGAAATAAAGCACAATATTGTCATGTGGAACTATTGTTTTAATTCTGCTTCCAGGTGACTGTGAAAGACCACTGCCTTGGCAGCACTGACGTAGCCTAGAGCAGAAACAACCAGACTTATTGTGAGATCAGCACTACATATACTACACCCTTGATATTTTGGTAATTACTTAAGGGCAATTAAAACTAAAAGTTTGCTGGATCAGACTTTTCTGAGCAGGAGCTTCCATTATGTCTGGGCCCCTATTATTCTCTTCAACATCCCACAGCATAATTTTTACTCCATCCAGGAATTCAAAGGGCGCTGTCATGTTGCCTGTGGTCCCTGTAAATCCAGAGTTTGGTCATGCAGAGCTCTCTTGGAAGTCAATGTATTCAACATTTTTATTTATTAATTAATATGCTGAGGAGATAAAATACAGGGCACCCTATTCTTACAGACTTAAGCCATATCTATGTAGCAGAATTCAGGTATACCAAGATGCATAATTACTTTTTCCCTTCTTGCGCTTGCCGCTGCACTTCTTGAAGTCCATCCACTGCCTGGTGAAAATCAAACACTGTACAGCACAGGAGAAGAATCAAAGGAGACAAAAAAACCAGTTTGGCTTTCAAGTATCACACACACATTATTTGAGTAGCAAAGAGACAAAGTTAATAAGCCTTTGTGATTCTCAGTAACATCATTTCTGAGAGTCAAGCAACTGGATCAGATCCAGACATTGGATCCGAGATGTTTATGGAGTGCCTGCTCCAACTGCCTCTGTGTCTACATTTGTTTTGTTACCTTGTTAACATTGTAAGCTATTTATATTTTGGACGATATCTGGGGTTTATTTTCCAGAAACAGCAGCATTAAATGCTAAATACTAAACTGCCAGCAACTTTTAAATGTATCTTAATAAAAAATAATTTCTACTACTGGAAGGTACAGGTAAGTGCTCCCTCCTAGTTCTATTAAAATTAATAGGCTTTTGCACCACACTTGGCATTTTAATACTGAAAGATATTAACAAGAAATTGATGCATATAAAAGGATGTTATATTATCAATATATAGTACTACTGATATCCAGCAGTTAGCAACATGCTAAATATATACATATATATATTTATTAGTAATAATTTTGTTGTATAATGAACTTAATCACAATACTGGCATTCACATAAGGGACTAGTTCAACAGAGGTGCCTGCTGGAGGAAGGGAAGGAGAAGGCAAATTTTGCAGAGCCCATCTCCCCCCTGCAGCTATTCTGGGGCTTCCCCCCGCTTCAAAAACCCGTAACAGGTTTTCAGGGAGCTTCAGGAGCAAGGAGTAATTGGCAAGAATCATGTCCCCACCTCCAGTCAATGAACTCAACTCATGGGAAGTATTGATCCAACCCCGTACATATTAAGCAGGGGGAGGTGGGTTTTTTTTAAACTCTTAATTATTGCACTGAGCATATTCAAATAGAGATTACTCGCCATCTATGTTATGAAACACAAACTCTCCTCAGTGCAAATAATGGGTTTGGATGGCCAACAAAGATCCTAGAAATGCAAAGTGCCTATAATTTGTTTGTATATAAAGACTTTCTCTACCAGACTGCCACTTACCAATGTGTGCCCTGTCTGATATGATGAGTCTTTTCTCCCAGTCTCTTAAACCTGTCAGAAGAAATGCGGTGCCAGTTAGGTTTCTGCTCCCAAGGGGCTACAACACTGAGATACGAGTTTATTCAGTTGTCCCATCAGTTTAAAATTATTTATTTAAAGAAAAGAAACACAGACACATCAAATGCAGCAAATACACATGTAATGTATTATGAGCAAAACCAAAACAAAATCAATATGTGCTCCTTAAGGAGTGGTTTTTGTTAAGAGGGCCAAGTTCACATAGTAAGGAGCCCCCAAGATTGTTGGGTTGTTGTTTTTTACACACAACTCCCTCCACAGCTATATTCAGCTAACTAAAGCACAAAAATACAGCCATGCTCTGGCTTCCAGGAGTGACTTTTACCTCCTTTCATAGTTGTTGTTGTTGTTGTTGTTGTTGTTGTTGTATAGTCGTTTAGTCGTGTCCGACTCTTCGTGACCCCATGGACCAGAGCACGCTAGGCACTCCTGTCTTCCACTGCCTCCCGCAGTTTGGTCAGACTCATGTTTGTGGCTTCGAGAACACTGTCCAACCATCTCGTCCTCTGTCGTCCCCTTCTCCTTGTGCCCTCAATCTTTCGCAACTTCAGGGTCTTTTCCAGGGAGTCTTCTCTTCTCATGAGGTGGCCAAAGTATTGGAGCCTCAGCTTCAGGATCTGTCCTTCCAGTGAGCACTCAGGGCTGATTTCCTTAAGAATGGATGCGTTTGATCTTCTTGCAGTCCACGGGACTCTCAAGAGTCTCCTCCAACACCATAATTCAAAAGCATCAATTCTTCAGCGATCAGCCTTCTTGATGGTCCAGCTCTCACTTCCATACATCACTACTGGGAAAACCATGGCTTTAACTATACGGACCTTTGTTGGCAAGGTGATGTCTCTGCTTTTTAAGATGCTGTCTAGGTTTGCCATCGCCTTTCTCCCAAGGAGAAGGCGTCTTTTAATTTAATTTAATTTAAACCTTTCATAGTAGGAGTTGTAAAATGCAAAGATAGGAAGCAGTTTTGTGTTTGTTTGTTTGTTTGTAACATTAATTACTCCTCCTTGCATTCAAGGATCTCAATTTTGTGACAGCATATTTACTCAATTGTGATTTGCAAATGAGGACATGCTACATTAAGTGGAGCCTCCTCTGGATATTGCTGTGGCAGGCAATGTGTGGAACAAATTTCAGGAGCTCCTTATCAGGTGAACATTCTAGCAACTTTCATACAATCTGTTTATTTACTTGTGATTTGGATGTCATGTTTAAATAATAGTATGTCTAAAGCATCTTATTATTTGAATGCATGTAGGCTTAGGGCATACTATAACCATGACCTGTAAATTTCCCTGATAAATGTGAAATTACCTGCAATGGGAAAAATACACTGCTTTAAAGAAAATCAAAACATTACATACAAACCTTTTTTCTCATTTTTTTCAGCTTCTTCAAATAAGCCTGGCAAATGTATGACAACCCCATTCCCTAAAAAAGACATAGAAATGTGTAATTGTGACAGCAAACCATTAAACAGTCATCTTTCAAAGTAATGCACAAAGCATTAGGGTACTAGCAGTTGTCCTAATGCTTAAGTCAGACCAACTGACAATGGATTGGGTCAAAAACGCTTTCCCAACTCCATTAACTGGAGTAATCAATCAGTCGTCATCATCATCATCACCACCACCACCAAATACTCTGCCCATCTGGCTGGGTTGCCCCAGCCACTCTGAGTGGCTTAACACATATAAAAACATAATATCTGTATCCAGGCATAGGCAAACTCAGCCCTCCAGATGTTTCGGGACTACAACTCCCGCCATCCCTGACCACTGGTCCTGTTAGCTAGGGATGATGGGAGTTGTAGTCCCAAAACATCTGGAGGACCGATTTTGCCTATGCCTGATCTGTATCCATTCAATGCATTATCTTGGAATGCATACAAGTCCAAACTTAGTAGATCTTCCATATACTCAGCTCTAAGCAGCTGCTTTGATATGTGAATTCCTATTACTTTTTATAAAGCTGCTAATTAAATTCCAGGAGCAATGGCAATCATGCTGAAGATACAGGAGGATTAGAAATGTGGAGGGATGGTAACAGCTGTTCCTTTTGTTCCCAATAACACTCCCCACCCCCCACCCTGACCAAAAAACCCACTATGCAATTGCTTCTCTTTGAATCTTCTGGAAATTTTTTATTTTCCATACTAGTGACAGTCAATAGGTCACCTGTGATATCAAAGGAGGGAAGAAAAAGCTGAGTGTTTAACCTTGTCTTACTTACAGTAGTGTAAACAATAAATGTTATTGCTCACGCAATTAAGAATCCATTTATAGTTGAATTTCCCCAACTTGAATCTCAAGTCTCCAAACCAGACATTTATACTTACCAATTAGAGAAATTGCCTTGGGATTAATTATACCACTAGGGAAGAGGTGAAAATCATATTCCTTCCCATCAACAACCACGGTATGGCCTGCATTATTTCCACCCTGCCAAAACAAATACAAAAAATGATTACTGAAATAATTTTAACCTGTTTTTGCTATGAGCAAAGAATGCTATTGATTTGGACTGAAAATATGTGTTCATGTTTTTTAATCGCATTCATAGTTAACTGAATTTCAGCCTAACTATATTAAGGATTTGAACTAATATTGTTATTCACTGCTCATCTGCTTCAGAGGGGGTGGGAGGAGGGTGTCATACGATGGAGATCTGCTAAGACAAAAAAAGAAGAAAGTCACTTTATTCCCACCACTACCACTTAGGATTACTCTGTAACTGATTTACTGTACTTCAATATTCATTCGTTGCCTTTTACTGTACTAAGGTAGGTCAAATAAAACAGACTGCAGAGCTTTTCCATCTGCTCTGTTGTTAAGACCAGCTCTGCCAGGCTCCTCCTCCAACTGTTATCCACATCAACCATTCCATCAGAGAAAAACTGGACTACATGGCTTCATCAACTCTACTGCAAGAGCACTAACTTTTGGCTCCTCTGCTCCTTGAAATCTTTCAGCTGTAGCTGCTAACTGAAACTTAATTTTTGCAAATTTCTTCATTGAGGGTGTCTTAAAAATATATGCTTGGGTGTAAAGAAATTCAAATCTGCTATTATTTTTGTGACTGGGCAACATTTAGATTGATAAGTCTACGTAATCTTGCTTTTAGAAAACCAAATTATTTTTATTTTACCTTCTGTAAATGTCAGGTAATGTGCTACACACACACACACACACACACACACACACACACAACTTTACGTACATTTTACTTACCAAGCAAAACAAAATTACATTAATGTAACCAAAATATAGTTTCTTGTAAGATTCTCCTCTCCGAAAAATATCCATGGACATTTTGCATTTTGACACCATTGGAATCCACTTACTGTAGAAGTGAGTCCAGCTGCTATTACTAAATCTCTCTTATTTATTTACTCTTACGCAGTAACTATACAAAAAAACTGTGAAGTTTGTTTTTTCCTACTCTTCTCTTACAGCTGTTAGCCTTTTCACAAGACACCTTAATTCTAATTAAAGGTGCCTTCTCCATTTCAAATTAGAAACACTTGCAATGCGTATGCACACAATCATCAAGGTGATGTGGGAATAAATGTGACTTTTAAGAGGGAAAAGAGCAAAACCTATTTACTGAGCTGTGCAGCATGTGCTTTGTACACAAGTAGCCCAAGAGGTCTTTTTATGATTATGTAGACAAATTTCATAAGATGCCTTTTGTATTTTCTGTGTCTACAATTATAAAAAAAGACTGCAGTGATTAAAAGTCTAGATTAAAAGGCATTAGACAGTAAAATTGCCTCTGTTCCCTTTCATCAAATTATAGAAATACAGTATTAACACCCCACTCACCCAGGCAAGTTATACAAGGAAGTGAGCTTTGCTATTAACTTGCCTTCAAGTATCATAAATTCAAACAACAAAGAAGATAAAACAAGTATCATTTGAACTTAATTTTCAGTTACTGACTTGATTGTTACCCAGGATAATAAACCTAAGATTTTGATGAGGGCACTGCAAGCCAGCCTTGTTTTCTTACAGAGCTTTGGTAACTTTAAACTTGACCTTCTCATATAATACGGGTGATCCTGGAGCGATTTTATCAGTACCCAAAGGAGAAGCCCAAGTTTAAAATAGCAATGTCACCATGTAGTTTTAAATCCTCCACAGATGTAAGGACTCCCATAAGTGAGGCTCTTTCTTCAGATGCAAACAGATGCCCGGGAGATAGATATAATAAACAAAGAAGCATAAACAAGGTTGCCTCTGAAATGTATTAACGAACAACCTTTCTAGTCTTTTGAGATGTAATAATAATAATAATAATAATTTTTATTTATACCCCGCCCTCCCCAGCCAAGGCCGGGCTCAGAGCAGCTTACAAGCAATAATAAAAACAAGCTGAATGATTACAACTTAAAAACAAAATTAAAATACAACATTAAAATATTGAAACATTAAAATATTAAAATGTAGCCTCCTCGCAGGAGGAGAAGGAAAAGAAAAAAAGAAAGAGAGGGAGGGAGGGAATCAAATTGGCTCCAAATTGGCCAGGTGGAACAACTCTGTCTTACAGGCCCTGCGGAAAGAAATCAGATCCTGCAGGGCCCTGGTCTCTAGAGACAGAGCGTTCCACCAGGCCGGAGTCAGAGTTGAAAAGGCCCTGGCTCTGGTTGAAGCCAATCTAACTTCCTTAGGGCCCGGGACCACTAGGGTGTTGCTATTTATGGACCTTGAGGCTCTCTGTGGGGCATAACGGGAGAGGCGGTCTCATAGGTACGAGGGTCCTAGGCTGTGAAGGGCTTTAAAGGTCAAAAGCAGCACCTTAAATCTGACCCTGTACTCCACCGGGAGCCAGTGCAGCTTGAAAAGCACTGGATGAATATGCTCCCATGGCAGGGACCCCGTGAGGAGCCTCGCTGCAGCATTCTGCACCCGCTGGAGTTTCTGGGACAGCTTCAAGGGCAGCCCTGCGTAGAGCAAATTACAGTAGTCAAGCCTGGAGATGACCGTCACATGGATCACTGTGGCCAGGTCGGGGCGGAAAAGGTAAAATAAATTAAGATACCCACATTCAAAACCTAAGAAAGAGACTGAAACAAAACCAATCATGAAACTATCATATTCCAGTTGGTTAGCGCGTGATGCTGATAACAGCAAGGTTGCAGGCTCAATGCCTGTTAAGGGTCAGCTGCATATTCCTGCATTGCAGGGGGTTGGACTAGATGATCCTCAGGGTCCCTTGTAACTCTATGATTCTACATATCTGCATCTCCCCTCACTACTCACTTTATTTTCTCTGTCTTTCATGCTGTCAGAAGCAAGCTTCCTTAGGACTCATGGGGTTTTTGCTGTTTTTCTTTGCTTATGTTACTAGACAGGCTGCCTCACTCTGGGTAATGAAAGGGCCAGTTTTAAAGTGGCAGATATTCATAGAATCATAGTTGGACGGGACCCCCAAGTGGTCCAACCCCCCCCCCCGCAATGCAGGAATCTCAGCTAAAGCATCCATGACAGATGACCATCCAACTGTGCTTAAAATCTTCCAAGGAAGGAGAGTCCACAGCCTCCCGAGGGAGACCATTCCACCATTTAACGATAAAAGGATGTCAATAAAGGTTATTTGTATCAAAGGGGGTGCACACATACTCAGAAGGCAACCCCACTGTGTTCACGAAAGGTTATGTCCAGGTAAGTGCATGATTGTGGTTTTAGCTTATTTCAGTAGGGAACAGTGCAGTGGGGCAGAAACACTCACCTGGCCTCCGATCAGTCACATCACTGCTGCTTACCAGCTGATGCAAGAAGAGGAGCAAGGGGACATGACATTTCTCCCCATCTACTTCCCAGTGAGCAGCAGTGACTGACCTGCAGCCAGGAGAGCACAGTTACCCCACCACTGGCTTATTATTTTTTACCACCGTTGATGGAATCTTTCAATAAGTTGGAGATGGTGTTTGTAAGTGGTCCATGTTTCACAAGCATACAGTAGACAGGCAAACTAGTATCAGTGTACTGGATGAAGCAAAGATCACCAGTGTTGAAGCAATAATTCTTCAACATCAACTTCGTTGGACTGGTCATGTTGTGCGGATGCCTGATTATAGTCTTCCAAAGCAACAACTCTACTCCGAACTTAAAAATGGTAAGTGTAATGCTGTTGGTCAACAAAAGAGGTTCAAAGACTCTCAAGAGAAATCTTTTTTTAAAAAAGTACGTTGTGTAAACACCAAGAACTAGGAAACACTGGCTTGCAGGAGCTCCAATTGGAGAACAGCCTTTACCAAAGGTGTCATGTGTTTTGAAGATGCTCTCAGGACAAAAGGGAGAAATGTGCTAAGAGGAAGGCATGCTTGGCAAATCCACACCGTGATCAACTCCTGCCTGGGAACCAAGGTCCCCACTGTGGAAGGACGTGTGGGTCCAGAATTGGCCTCCACAGTCACTTAGGGACTCATTGTTAAAACTGTGTTTATGGAAGACAATCTTACTCAGCTATGAGGGATCACCAGAGAGAGAAAGAGAGATTTTTTTTACCACCATGGATGCTGCTACTTAGATTTTCTGGCACCAAAATGTATCAGATCACCCCAGTAAAACACCAGTGTTGGGCTATATAAATAATTTAACCCATAAAACTTGGGAGTTCAGATTTTGTTTAACACTACATAAAGTATAGACACGCCCTCATTCTTAATTTAAAGCTTTCCCCATCACTTGAGAAAATGTATGACAGCATACTAGCTTTCATTTTCATAGATAACTGTGGTATTAAAAGCCAGAAATCTGGCTCTGCTCTTAATCATTTATTTTTTTAATGGGATTATGCTGACTACCTTTCAAACCTCTAGTTAAAGAGGTATTTATTAGTGGCAAGATGAAGATTTTTGTTAAAATTATCAACTCACATTTGAGTACTCTTGAGAGGCGAACTGACACAAACCTGTTTGTGAATAAGCACCAGTGAACTCCAATTTACTAAACTCAGACATATTTCTCAACTCAGAACTGTGCTGTTAAAATGCTTGGGTGTATTAGTAAGACCTGTCATTTTTTATTTCTTGACATCTCTCTTTGACTTCATTCTTCAGTTACCTTCCCACCCCACCCCAACACCTCATTCTGACATGAGGATGTGCTCAACATCTTCCACAGGGAAGACAAATAATATATTCAGCTTCTCTCTCCCCTGCCCTTCCACCTAACTGTCCAAGTGCCTCTTATTCAAATAAATTTTAATTGTTCACCTTAAAAGAATTTTTTAAGATGCATGTTGCTGAACACATTGTTCAGTTGCTTTGCTTGTTTAGCCCAGTTTGTGCTCCTTCTGTTCTCAGTTGGGCAAGACTTTCTCTTTTTAAAGGAAGTATTCTTGCCTTTCATGATTTCCTTGATTTTGCTCATAAAGCAGCTGGCATCCGCTTGAATTTCATAATCTGTGGTATAGATTCTATCTGAGCCTCTATTATTGTGGTTTTAAAGAACCTCCATGAATCCTGAAGATATATTTTCTGCTTCCTCTTTCGAGATGAAATGTTTAAGAATGTACCTTAACTTCCTGAGGATTTAATACTGTGTACTAAACAGATGATGACCCAATAAAAGCATTGACTGTAGTGAAAAAAGCTATAAACAAATTGAGAACTATGAAAAGAAAACAAGGAGTGGGAATATTTGGGAGAATATTTTTTAAAAGGAGGTCTCAGGGTTAACTGGCGAGTGGGATAAGCTTATGATCAGTAGTTGACTAGACAAGGGATTAGAAAGGATGGAGAAAGGGACAGGATAAAAACATAAGGAGATGTAGCAAACTAAAGAATATAGACTAGGGTGCCAATGAAAGATAAGTCGGGAAGTCTTTACTTACTATAAGATGATGAATGGATGTACTGTAATATGTTTTATGTAATTTGAAAAATGGGTAAAAATAAAGTGTGTGGGGGGGAGAGAACTATGAAAAACACAGAGAAATTTAAATTCACTGACGGAAAACAAACTATTTAAAAATTCCACATCATTACTAACAGTTTCGCTATTGAAAAACTATCGTAAGATTTAAAAGTGAGATCATAAGAGCAAGCTGGATCAGGCCAGTGACCCATCCTGTTCTCACAGTGATCAACCAGATGTTTACAGGAAGCATGCAAGCAGAACCTGAGCTTTTAAAAAAGTGTAAAGAGATAACCTGAGAGTTCTTGCTATGGCATCAGCTTCCCTCCAGCCTTAATATGAAGCCACTGAGAGCAGACACTAAGGGATTTCAAGCATGGTATAAGTATTCATACCCAGCATTATTTCTCAGTTGCATTTGCAACAGGTGTGGCCATGCAAATTCTAGATAAGTGTCTGGATGCTACAGAATGATGCCCAACATACTGAGACTGAATCTTGGTAAGTTGGAGATCTTGTGGCTAGACAGTCCACCATTCCAGGAGCTGTGCAATTTGGGAAGAGTTGCACTTCCCCTGAAGCAGATGACATGTAGTTTAGGGGTGCTCCTTGATACATCTTTGTTGCTGAAGACGCAAGCAGCTCTGTGGCTGGAAGCACCTTTAAGAGCTTCAGGTGGTATGACAGCTGCAACACTTTCTGGACACAGTGACACATGTGTTGATAAACTCAAGAGTGAACTACTGCAGATGTGTTCTATATGGCACTGTTCTTGGTCCAGCTGATACAGGATGTAGTGAACACTAGGTGCCAAGGTTCTTACCACGAACCTGTAACACTGCTCTTAAAAGCAAGGCATTAGCTGTCAATCAGCTTCTTGGCCAGGTTTAAGGTTTCGGTACTAACCTACAAAGCCCTAAACCTAAACAACTTGGGACCGCCTCCAAAAGGATCTCCCAAAGCTAGGTGAATGGGCACTAAAATGTCAACTGCAATTCACTGTAATCAAGTGCAAAGCGATGCACACTGAAACAAAAAAATAAACCCTATATAATACAGAGTCTGAACTGTCAAAAAGGTTACTATAGCTACACAATGTTGCAAAAAGGCAACCAAAATTATCAGGAGTGGAATAACTTCCCCATAAGAAAGGTTACAACATTTGGAACTTTTTAGTTCAGAAAAAAGGTGAACAGGGCAGTTATGACAGAGGTGTATAAAATGACGTGTGGCGAGGAGAAGAGGAGAAAGCAGGTATGTTTTTCTCCCTTTCTCATACTATTAGAATTCAATGAACCTGAATGTTGGAAGGTTTTAGACAGAAGGAAGTATTTCTTAACACAGCGCACAGAGAAATCCACTGCCACGAGATGAAACAGTTGGCAAAACCAGCTTTAAAAGTGGGGTAGGTAAATTAATGGAGCATAAGGCTGTCAATGGTTAGTAGCCATGAAAGCAATATACTAGCTCCACTGTTGGGAGAAAATATGCCTTTGAATAAAAGTTGTTAGGAATCACAAGTGGGAAGAGTACGGTTCCACTAATTTCTGCTTGTGGGGCTTCCCATAGGTCCAGCCACTGTGCTAGACTTGGTGGGTCAATAGTCTGACCCAACTACCCTGTTCTTAGGTTACCTAACAGAATGTCTTATCCATACAGACTTGCCCAATCACTAAGTTCTTCTACTGAGCCTTCCCAAGTCATGGCACAACCTCCTCTCCAAAAGAAAGGAAGACTGCCATTTCAATGCCTGCTAAAGAGCCACCTGTTCTTTGAGGCCTTTTCCCTGACCAGTTATGTTGATGATCTTATCTTTTATTTGTACTTCATGGTTTTTGTGAACCACCTTGTGATATGTTATGAAAAGCACTAGACAGATATTTTAAATAAACTGATGAAGTGCTCTGGTTAGTTAGAAAGTATGCCCAGGCAGAAAACAATTAACTGATAGCAACATGAATTTCAAGAATAATTTCTTTAGTGCCAGGGAGAGGACCCGTCTACAGATTTTTTTGCATTTAACAAAATTTATAAAACCGCTTGACTGTAATAAAACCTCGAAGTGGTTCACATGAAATATTAAAATTATAAATAAATACCACTTCAAAACGATTCAAAGCATTTAAAAATAAATAAAATTAGTAGTAAAAGAGAGTAAAACATTTCAACAGCGACGTGCCTGGATAGGTTTCCTTCAACAAAAAGGTTTTGAGCAGACCTTGAAAAGAGTCCAACAAAGGCACCTGATGTCAACAGACAGGGAGTTCTGAAGAGCAGGCACTGCCTACATTTTACTAGATTGATTTCTTACAGCTGCAAAACATGTATTTTGTGGTGCCTGTAACAGTGACAGTTCCACAGACCAAAACAGTTGAGAGTGCATACATGGGGTAAGGCGATCCCGCAAGTAAACTGGCTCCTAGCCGTTAAGGGTTTTATATGCCAACGATAACACCTCGAACCTGGCTGGATGAGGCGCTTGTTCAGAGAGAAGCCACTAGATGTTTACTAACTGCAGTTGAAAGATGTTCCCAAGTCTCAGAGTGACATTTTCACAAACCCCACAACAAGCCTGATAGTGGAAAGAACTGGACAATACACAACTGCATTTCATATATCTGGTTTATTTCACCATTCCTCAAGTGAGTGCACACACACACAGCTCATTTTATCATCACAACCACCCTGTGAAGTAGGCTAGACAGAAAATGTGACTACTCCAATTGGCATAATGGCTATGAACCCCTATCTCCCCAATCCTAAATCTATACTACCGCTGCCACCCTCGCCCGGCTCATTTAGAGTCTTAATATGTGACTGGAGAAGGCAAGCAGAAGAATAAAGAAACACTGCTACCTTCGTCACATTTAGCTTGGCCCACGATAATGCACGGATAGCATACTATGTGTGAGTGTTGGGCTGCACTAGTCACCTTCAGCAACCTTCCCTTGCAGAAGGCCGTCACCTGACACCTGCTGCAAATACCCGCCCCCAGCAGATTCACTACTGTCCAGACACACAGGTTCTGGCACTGAGACCATGCTTGTCTAGATCTCGGGATCTTATGTCATTTATCGCCAAGGGTCAGCTATTTCTATTTGTAGCTCAAGGCGTGCAGGCTTACTTTCCTCTTCCCAAGCGGCATTCAGTCTGCAGCAAGCCACCCTCCTCTGTGCTGTAGCAGCCAGGGAGGACGCAAAGTAAGGTGGGTGGGAAGAAAGTGAAGAAGGAGAAATATGGTGTGGGGGGGGGGGGGAGAGAGGAGGGGGAACAATAAGGGTTAATGCACCAAAATCATAGAACTGTAGAGTTGGCAGGGACCCTGAGGATCATCTCCTCCAACCACCTGCAGGGCAGGAATAGACGGCTGTCCCCATGCGGGGAACAAACCTGCAGCCTCAGCATGAACATCACCACGCTCTAACCAACTCCAAAATAATAATAATAATAATTCCTTGTCGGCATCCATCTGTCTCAAGAGACAAGAGAAGAATACACCATCTGGGGTAAGGTCAAACCACTGGAGAGTTACAGCAGCTAATAATATTAATAATAGTAAATAAGTGGGAAGGAAGAGGAGATGAGAGGATGAATATGACCTAGGTTGAAATCTCAACGCAGCCATGAAACTCAGTCAGTGGCCGTGACCTTGGGCCAGTCGTACTTCTCTCAGCCTAGCCTACACCGCAGGGTTGCTGTGCGGATAAAAAGAGGGTGGAAACCCCGGGGAAAGGCTAGAGTCTTGAAAGGGAGAATGGAAGGATTTGAAACGGCGGCAACTATCAGCGCCACCATATAAGCCACTTAGGATTCCCTCGGCAGAATAGAAAGGTCACAAATAGGAGAGCAACAGAAAAAGCAGCAGCTTTTCCTTTTGGGAAGTGTTTAATATTTAATGCTGTATTGTTTTTAACACTTGATTGGAAGCCGCCCAGAGTGGCTGGGGAAACTCAGCCAGATGGGCGGGGCATAAATTAATTTATTATTATTATTATTTCATGCAAGACTTCAAAAGGGCTGAAGTGCCACCACCCACCTGGCACCTGCAAACGACGTCGGCCTCCGTGGCCAGCAGGTCCACCACCTTGCCTTTGCCTTCGTCCCCCCACTGCGAGCCCAGCACCACCGTCACCCGGTTGCCGCCCGGCTCGCTCCGCAGCCGCTTCAGGCCACCGGCGCCGGCTGGGTGAGGGGCGCGGTCATTGGATGCGGCCGTCGCCGCCCGGGTGCTCGACATAAAGCTGGCTGGACGGCTCTGTCGGCGGCCTGAGAGGAATCCTTTCTGCTCGCACGAGCCCACCTCCAGTGCCCGCGCCACCCGCTCGCCCGCTCTTCGCGTTTTTATGCCAGCCCTCGGCCAATCGCGGCGGCCGGAGCAGTGACGTTGTACAAGGGGAGGAGCGGGGTTGGGTGTCTGCAAGCTGGAGGTGGGGCGGGGGAAGCAGTTGGGGGCGGGCCTACGGGCGTCGCCAAAGGGCGCGCGAAGCGTTCCTGAGGGGAAAGGGCGGTTCGCCTCAGACGAAGCGGGCGGTGTTGGTTTAGAAGCCGTTGCCCCCTCCCCAAAAAAACAAAATTCGAAATAAAATTCATTACGCATTTGAAATAACCATTCAAACCGAGCATTCCGTCAGCTAAGAGTTCGCTCCCCTTAAGAATGTAACCCTATCGTGCAAATGTTAACTAAACCAAGACGAAAACTTAAAAAATAAAAAAGGAATAAATCTCTGCGTATGAAAGTTAATATAGCACACTGAAATCAAGATTATTTATTTACTTATAAATAGAAAGGTGTTTATTATTGTTATTGTTATTATTAAAGAATTAGAATTTATATACTGCCCTATACCTGCAGGCTCAGGGTGGTTCACAAAATAAAATCAGAATTATTGTTGTTTAGTCGTTTAGTCGTGTCCGACTCTTCGTGACCCCATGGACCAGAGCACGCCAGGCACTCCTGTCTTCCACTGCCTCCCGCAGTTTGGTCAAACTCATGCTGGTAGCTTCGAGAACACTGTCCAACCATCTCGTCCTCTGTCGTCCCCTTCTCCTTGTGCCCTCAATCTTTCCCAACATCAGGGTCTTTTCCAGGGAGTCTTCTCTTCTCATGAGCTGGCCAAAGTATTGGAGCCTCAGCTTCACGATCTGTCCTTCCAGTGAGCACTCTGGGCTGATTTCCTTAAGAATGGAGAGGTTTGTTCTTCTTGCAGTCCATTGGACTCTCAAGAGTCTCCTCCAGCACCATAATTCAAAAGCATCAATTCTTCGGCGATCAGCCTTCTTTATGGTCCAGCTCTCACTTCCATACATCACTACTGGGAAAACCATGGCTTTACTATACGGACCTTTGTTGGCAAGGTGATATCTCTGCTTTTTAAGATGCTGACTAGGTTTGCCATCGCCTTTCTCCCAAGGAGCAAGCGTCTTTTAATTTCGTGACTGCTGTCACCATCTGCAGTGATCATGGAGCCCAAGAAAGTAAAATCTCTCACTGCCTCCATTTCTTCCCCCTCTATTTGCCAGGAGGTGATGGGACCAGTGGCCATGATCTTCGTTTTTTTTGATGTTGAGCTTCAGACCATATTTTGCGCTCTCCTCTTTCACCCTCATTAAAGGTTCTTTAATTCCTCTTCACTTTCTGCCATCAAGGTTGTGTCATCTGCATATCTGAGGTTGTTGATATTTCTTCCGGCGATCTTAATTCCGGCTTGGGATTCATCCAGCCCAGCCTTTCGCATGATGAATTCTGCATATAAGTTAAATAAGCAGGGAGACAATATACAGCCTTGTCGTACTCCTTTCCCAATTTTGAACCAATCAGTTGTTCCATATCCAGTTCTAACTGTAGCTTCTTGTCCCACATAGAGATTTCTCAGGAGACAGATGAGGTGATCAGGCACTCCCATTTCTTTAAGAACTTGCCATAGTTTGCTGTGGTCGACACAGTCAAAGGCTTTTGCATAGTCAATGAAGCAGAAGTAGATGTCTTTCTGGAACTCTCTAGCTTTCTCCATAATCCAGTGCATGTTTGCAATTTGGTCTCTGGTTCCTCTGCCCCTTCAAAATCCAGCTTGCACTTCTGGGAGTTCTCGGTCCACATACTGCTTAAGCCTGCCTTGTAGAATTTTGAGCATAACCTTGCTAGCGTGTGAAATGAGTGCAATTGTGCGGTAGTTGGAGCATTCTTTGGCACTGCCCTTCTTTGGGATTGGTATGTAGACTGATCTTCTCCAATCCTCTGACCACTGCTGAGTTTTCCAAATTTGCTGGCATATTGAGTGTAGCACCAGAGTGTATAATCAGAATATAAAACCACAAAATACATAATAAAAATAAAAACAACAACAAACCAATAACCTCCCACACGTGTACTTTAAAAGGGCATAGGATGCCTATCAAATAACTGTTAATGCAAATATTATTTATTTGTGCATCTACCGAAAAACCAAAATGTGGAATTAAACACATTACGCATTTGGAAGAACTATTAAAACCAAGCATTTTGTTACCTAAGAATTCGCTCCCCTGAAGAATGTAAACGTATCTTGCAAATGTTAAATAAACCCAGATGAAAACTTTTAAAGAAATTTCTGTGTATGAAAATTCATATAGCACACTGAAGTCAAGACAGTCCTGGCTTGAATTTTACATCAGGCCAGTGGGACACAACCGCACACCATGGATTCTCCAAAATAATCCCAGATGTGAACTATAGGTTGTTAAGGGTGCTGGGAATCACAGTTCTATGAGGAGTAAATGACTGTTTGTTTGTTTGTTACATTTAAATACCACCTTTATCTTCCAAGGAGCTCAAGGTGGTGGCACATGGTTCTCCTCCTTCCCACTTCATCCTCACAACCACCCTGTGAGGTAGGTTAGGCCACAAGGCAGTGACCAGACCAAGGTCACCCAGTGAGCTGAGTCGGGGTTCGAACCCTGGTCTCCCAGGTCACAGTCGGGGCTTTTTTTTCAGGTGGGTGCCATTACCATTCTAAGACAGCAAAGGAGAAGTTCCTGGTTCCTCATTTTCTAGAAAAATAGCACTGGTCATTATCCAACACTAACCATTACGCCACACTGGTTCCCAGGATTCTCTGGGGAAAGTCGTGTGCTTTGAATGTATGGTGTGGAAGTGGCCTAAGGGAAGCCAGTTTGTTAGCGTCACATGTGTGCACATGCACACACTCTCTGACCCAGGACCAGCGCAGCTCGAAACAGCAACCTGCCACCCCACCTCTTTTACCTGCGTGGCGTGGCAGCACCCTCAAAGCACTGGAAACCAGTACAGCTGGAGAGATGGTGGGGTGGGCAGCACTGGTGCTGCCTTTGGGGCTTCCGGCGCTTGAGGCGGTCACCTCATCTGTGGGCCTGCCCGGCCTCAATATGAAGAGAGCTACACTGGCCTGCATCACAGGAAAACTAGAGTGCCGTGGTGACATATAAATGGCAGGAGCTACCATGGTTTGTCCTTCATAGCCACGTGTCCAAGGGGAGTCCAAAAATGCCAGCAGCATTTTTGTGCCACGTACCCCAAAGAGCAAAGGTGTATCATATAAAACCCAGTTTATTAACATCAGCTTGATTGCATTCCTATGCACAGTTCCCTCAGAGTAAGCTCCACTGAATTCAGTGGTGTTTATTTCTGACTGCAAGAGTCCAACCACTGCTCAGCAGTCAACCGAAATGCAACCTTTTATCTTTTCATTGGAAATGCAGTCTTGCAAAGAAGCATTACCGTTTATAAAGTTTAGGGACTCCCATCAAAGGAAGGAAAGAAGGATCCAGCCTCTGCTTGATTTATTTTCCTCGTTCTCTGACTTCCTCTATGCTAATTGCCACAAACTTGAAGGCCTCATTATCACCTCACTGGCCAAAACAAGGAGGGTCCATCAATTAGCCTGGAACTTTGGAACATGCTACTGCATCACTTCTGTCCTGAGAAAAGTTCCAGAGCTCTACTCCCTCAACTACCCCATTTACAGCCAGAGATGCATGAGATGGTCTGTGGTATGCACAATTTTGAGAAGGTTGAGGGAGACAAAGCATGACAGGGGTACATGGCAACTGAGAGAAGGTTAATCTTATGGTACTGGCATGCAGGGCTGGTGCCAGACTTAAGGGGACCCTCCCCCCCCTCAAAAAAATAATTCAGGAGCAAAATAGAAATATTCATTTACCCAGTTACTTAATGGCTGGAAGAGAATGTGTTTGGTAACCTTGAAATTGTTACCTATGATGGTATGTGGTTGTTTTAAAATGAACACATCAATTAATTGTATTGGTTTACTACTTTGATGTTTGCCACCCTAGGCTCCTTTGGGAGGGAAGACGGCAGAAAAAATTAATAAGGAAGGAAGGAAGGAAGGAAGGAAGGAAGGAAGGAAGGAAGGAATAGTATATCTTATACCTACAATTTTTTTCTAGACGCTTTGTCCATCAATGTGGCAAAATGTCAAACAATTGTTTCTTGCCAATAATTCAGTTCCAAAATCCAGAGAACTACATTACCATTTTCTCCCAAGTATCATTCTACTTTTTAAAGAAGTTCGTTTTTAAGTATTTTTAGACCTTCCATCACAATTGTGGAACAATCCTTTCAGGTAAGAACATATTTAGTGGCATTAGATCACCTGGTTTAGTGGTGAGGGGGGTACTTTTGTGAATACCTTCTTTACTATGAAACTGTAGTGAGACAGAGGAGTTTAAGGAGAGAAAGCAAATTAATTTTTCACTTTTATATATATATTTAAATAAATGCATATACAGTCCTGCATTGATGCATGCAAGTTGCTTTTGATTTTAAAGAAACAACAATTTGCAAGTCCTTTCATCTGAATCAGGGGTGAGGATCCAGTGGTGCTCCAGCTGTTGTTGACCAGTTCCCACCATTGGCCATGCTGCCTGAGGCTGGTCAGGGACGATGGGTATTGTAGTCCACAGAACACAGAAAGCTTCCTTACGCAGAATCAGACCGCTGGTCCACCTAGCTTATTACTGTCTGCACTGATTGGCAGCTCCAGACAGGCTCTCCTAGCCCTACCTGGATCTCCTGGGGACTGAACCTTGGTAGCTTGGAAAGCAGATGCACAACCACTCAGCGGCACCCACCTAGCAGGCCACAGGTTCCCCATGCTCTACAGTTTCAAGGCAAAAAAACTGGATAGAATTAGGCAAATCCTCATGTCAAATTCACAACTATTTCTGCCTTCCCACTCCACAGAGCACAGGGATGACAGCATAGAAGGAATAACAAGCAAAAGGCTAGGCAGGCGAAGTTCACTTAGCAGCAGGCAGCTGGCAGGCTACTTAAGCAGAGCATGTTCCCCTCTCTGGAGGAGCAGGCATGCTTTATAGGGAAATGAGTGGCTGGCTGACATTTCACACACACACACCCCGAAGCGGAGGTGGTGACATTTGCCACAACACTGCTATCCCTTTCCTTTAGAAATAGAGCCATTGTGGGGTGGAGGGACAGATGACATATTGTGCAACCAGCAAGGCACTCAGAATGCACACAGGCGTTGTCCCATTTTATCTGCTGCGCAACAAACCTGTCAGGGAAGCAGTTAACCCTAAAGCATGACCAGCCCAAGGTCAGCCTTATGCCTGAGCAGTGATTTGAACCCTTTCGGCCACCCACTCCAAGCCCAGCCTGCTGGCTCTCAAATATTTGCTTTGCTCCAAACCATTACATTATTTCATTTCTGGCTTTTCAGTTATTTAAATAAAATTGACTGCATCTTAATATTACACCGCTGGCCTCAAACCAATGCCAGAATAGTGTAACATTCAGTCTCCCCAGTAGTGGGTGCTGCAGGGGCGAAAGTTGTACTTTATATAAAGTTTGAATAAAAAACAAATAGAGATGTGCTCTAGTCCTGTAATTAAAAGAGTACACAATATTATGTTTTAAACACTAAGCAGGAACTTAAAAAAAATGTTTTGGGGTGGGCAGAGAGTTACAAGAAAAAAATGGGGGGGGGGCACCAACACATTTTCCTACAGTAACTTTAAATAGGCCAATTTGAATTGTTGTTGTTGCACATTTATATCCTGCATTTTTCCCTAACAGGGAACGCTTTGTACCAGTTTAAATCAGTGCCCATGCAATTCAAGAAATTTCAATAAGAAGTGGGATTTCTGTACTCTGTTACCTAACTCCATTCCTTTTCCTCCTTTTATGTGCAATAGACAGGTAATTTACATCAAAATTTCCACAAGGAGTCATATTATAGCTTTTTATTTTCTTCCATAGGCTGTTCAGCTTAGTAATTAATAAAGGCATTGTTCTTACCAAAACTGACACAATGGAAATAATAAATTAATAAATATGTTATTAAGTAAAGCACAGAAATCTAAACAAGCATCCACTATCAAGTTCCTCTTTTTTATATAAAATAATAATAATTCAATTTTCTCGCTTGATAAGTTGGGGAGGGGGAAATAACTGCTTGGACATGAAGTATTATTATTTCCAGTTAAGAAAGTAAACTGAAGTACAAGGCCCGCCCCCCAAAAGAGCAGGATTCTTTTTCTTTCTTTCTTTTTTTTAAGACAGCTCCTGCATAGAGTTTCCAGGAATTGATGGTTTTCCCCACAACTGAAAGCCTTTCCCCGACAAAGCACCAAAGATGCCAGCTTCCTTCGTTGCAGCTCATTTTCAAGCTATGCAGAGAGAGAGAGAGAGAGAGAGAGAGAGAGAGAGACAACACGCCTCAAATTTGTATGCAGTGAAATCATGCCAATACATACCAGCACCTTTGAATTAAAAAACAGAATGACTAATAGCCCGAGTCTATGTACATCAGCAGAGGGTTCAGTCCTGCTGGGTGCTGCTTTGGCAGCATGTTCCCTGCAGACAATACACTGGCTAACCAGACCCCTGCAGCCAGCAACACTAAACCTTCTGTTCATCAGCTGGCAGGCAGAGGGTTCAATCCTGCTGGGCACTGCTTTACTATTCAGCATGTTTTACCAGCCTACCCCATCCTGCCAGTCAACTCTGACATGTGGGTAGGACTGCTCGCTTATCAGTCACCTGGCATCATCATGATGTCAGGATGCACCGACAGATGAAGAGTCCTGCCCGTCTCTCCAAGTTGGTCCACTGGGGTGGATCAAGATCTGGCCCCAAAGGTTCCCGGCCTCTAGATTAGGACCATAAATATGATCCGTGAAGGAGCCCTAAAACGTCTTGGTGAAGTCTCCAAGTTCTGCAGAAAGTTCTTAAGTGCTCCCTTCTCAATGCTGCCCACTCAGGTGCCTTTAACTACATCCCCAAATCAAGAAGCAGGGAGCAAAACATTGAGTGAACAGGAGCAAGCTGTCATGCTGGTAGGGGGATTTCTGCAGGTGACAGTGGCAGCTGTCGGAACTGGTATCTGTTGTTGTCACCTAGTGTGGAGGCTCTATCAGGGTTCCTAAGGGATCTATGGGGTCAAGAAGGCTGTACAGGGAGTTCCTCATCCAGAGCTGGTCTTTGGAGGGCCGGAGGGCCCCTCTTCCACCACAATCCCCTTGCCTGCCCCCACCCCGCTCAACAAGCTACTTCTCCTAATATGGCAATGTTCACTAAAAAAAAGGAGGCCAAATTGAGACAATAAACCCGTCTTAACCATCTTAACTGAGGGACGCGGGTGGCGCTGTGGGTTAAACCACAGAGCCTAGGACTTGCTGATCAGAAGGTCAGCGGTTCAAATCCCCGCAACGGGGCGAGCTCCTGTTGCTCGGTCCCTGCTCCTGTCAACCTAGCAGTTCAAAAGCACGTCAAAGTGCAAGTAGATAAATAGGTACCACTCCAGCGGGAAGGTAAACGGCATTTCCGTGCACTGCTCCGGTTCACCAGAAGCGGCTTAGTCATGCTGGCCACATGACCCGGAAGCTGTACGCCGGCTCCCTCAGCCAATAAAACGAGATGAGCGCCGCAACCCCAGAGTCGGCCACGACTGGACCTAATGGTCAGAGGTCCCTTTACCTTTACTTTAACCATCTTAACATAAGTTCAGCATCTACCAAATCTTCAATCTTTTTGGAACCCGGGACCCAACCACCACTAGTCCCAATGTGGAACATGGAACCATTTTTAGGTTTATTTGTTTTTAACTTCCTCCTTTGTGATCAGCCTCTCCCCGTTTCCCTCCTCCTCCCCTCCAAAAGCCCTACATTTGCTATAAAAAGGGAAATGATGGGCATTTTAGGCCACAGTGTCACACACTTAAGGAGCAGTAAATAAGTAAATTAATAACCGGCATTAGCTGTTGAATTCAAGAAGGCATCTAGGTAGGTAAAAACATAAAGTTCGGTCAAAGGTGACTATGGGGTGCGGCACTCATCTCGCTTTTCAGGCCGAAGGAACCGGCGTTTGTCCACAGACAGCTTTCCGGGTCATGTGGCCAGCATGACTAAATCGCTTCTGGCACAATGGGACACCGTGACGGAAGCCAGAGTGCATGGAAACGCCATTTACCTTCCTGCCACAGTGGTACCTATTTTTCTACTTGCACTGGCGTGCTTTTGAACTGCTAGGTTGGCAGGAGCTGGGACAGAGCAACGGGAGCTCACCTCATTGAGCAGATTCGAACTGCCAACCTTCCGATCGGCAAACTCAAGAGGCTCAGTGGTTTAGACCCTGCATCGAGGTAAACCTGTACATGGACCCAGTGTTACAAAATCAAATATTAAAAAGGAATACCCAAACTGGTTGTGATAATAAATGAAAAGTGGGGGAACATAGGAAAACTTATTTCCAAAGGTTATACCTCTTTAACAATGCTTCCGACGCTTAGCTGCTTCTCCCTCTTCAAGCAAATTCTTCCTCTTTTCTGCCTTTACCACTTGTTCCCTTCTGTCCTGATTTTCCTACATTCCAACACACACAAATCTAAAATTCAATAGAAGCATGACCAAAAAACTTCCCATGGATAATAAACCCACCTAGTTTGAAAATTGCAGCCCACTTTTAAACAAAACAACAAACCATTCCTTGAATTAATTTACAAACCACCACAGTAAATCACTGTCCACTGGGGCGGAAACCATGCTAAAGTACAGTGGTACCTCGGGTTAAGTACTTAATTTGTTCCGGAGGTCCGTACTTAACCTGAAACTGTTCTTAACCTGAGGTACTACTTTAGCCAATGGGGCCTCCTGCTGCCGCCATGCCGCCACCGCAGCACGATTTCGGTTCTCATCCTGAAGCAAAGTTCTTAACCTGAGGTACTATTTCTGGGTTAGCAGAGTCTGTAACCTGAAGCGTATGTAACCTGAGGTACCACTGTAGTACGAGATCAGGGCAGTCAGCGGCATGCAATTTGAATTAATTTGACTGACAGTGGGCTCAGGACATGCAAGGAGGAAAATACTGCTTCATGAAACTATGAATTAATGTTTGGGATTCACAGCCACAAAATGTGCAGGGATACATCGTATTTTTCCGTGCATAAGATGCCCTCATGTATAAGACGCCCCTTATTTTTGGGGACTCCAAATTAAGAAAACACCTCTCAGCACTACCTGTCTATAAGACAAGCCCCAATTTTAAACTAATTTTTTTGGTAAAAAAAACCCTAGTCTTATACACGGAAAAATACGGTAATTACAACATACAACCAGTTACTAAATTCAGCAGCAATTGTACAACTCCCTGTTCATTTGTTATTAAAAAGAGTCAAAGCAGCTTGCTGCATGCCCCATGCATCTTAACCCATGTATAGAGAAGTAGTGTGTGCTTTATTATAACCATGTTATCTACTTTAGCTGCTCATACCAGACAAAGGCTACAAAGCAGAGTTCTGGGTAGATGCAAAGACTCTCTCAAGAGGGTTCTTTATGTCCTCCTTCCAAACAAAAACCCCTCACAAAACACTGAAACTTATTCTTGCAACTCCCTCTTTCGAATTTCAGAAGTGGCTTGCTATCAGCAAGTCTAGGGGAGAGGGCTTGCGCTGGTGCCTCTGTGCATGCACAAGTGTGTGAAAGTCAAACACACTGCTGTATTCACACATAATTCCTTTGTATCAAAATGCCCACAAGAAGCATGCAAGCTAGAGATCTGAGAATTATATTCAGTTCTAGCAAAGACTAAGGAGTAGCTGGTGGTTCCTTCTACCAGTATGCAGTTTTGTGAAGTCCCCATAGCTCCATGGCTTGCATGCAAAAAGATATAAACAATATGACTACGGAAGAATTAAAAATATCAAACGGTATGAGACAAGGATGTCCTCTTTCACAATTGTTATTCATAATGGTTCTGGAGATTTTCCTAAATTCAATAAGGAGAAATGAAGCAATAAAAGGTGTGTCAGTAGGCCGTAATGAACATAAAGTAAAAGCCTTTGCTGATGATCTGGTAATAACAGTGGAAGAACCACCGGAAAGTTCAAAAGTTGTTTTGGAGGAAGTTGAACAATTTGGTCAAGTGGCAGGGTTTATATTGAATAAGAAAAAAACTAAAATGTTAGCAAAAAATATGGATCAAGGTATGATAGAAACAATGCAACAACAAACAGGGATAGAAGTGGTGAAAAAAGTTAAATACCTGGGAATCTGGTTAACCCCCAAGAGTATTGATTAGTTTCAGAATAATTATGTGCCAGTGTGGAAGGGAATAAAGAAAGATCTAGAGGTGTGGGGCCGAATGAAGTTATCCTTTTGGAGGAGAATTTCAACGATTAAGATGAGTGTGCTGCCAAAGATGTTATTCTTATTTCAGACAATTCCAATAATTAAGGGGACAGCGATATTTAAAGAGTGGCAAAGAGCAATTTCAAGATATATCTGGCAGGGTAAGAAGCCAAGAATTATGTATAAGTTATTAACGGATGCGAAAGAAAGAGGCGGCTTCGCCCTGCCAGACTTGAAATTATATTATGAAGCTTCATGTCTCTGCTGGTTGAAAGAATGGATAAAGTTAAAAAATACTGAGTTATTGGACTTAGAAGGTTTTGATAACAGATTTGGCTGGCACACATATCTATGGTGTGAGAAAAGAAAGATTCATAAAGGTTTCGAAAACCACATCTTTAGAAGATCTCTCATAGAAATATGGGAGAGATATAGAAGTTTATTAGAATCAAGAACTCCCCACTGGCTATCTCCGTTAGAAGTTATGAGTCTTAAGAAAGTCAATATGAGGGAAACTGGATTACATATAAAGAATTGATTATAAAGGAAGGAGGAAAATGGAAAATGAAATCCTATGAAGAAGTGAAAGAGTATGTGTATGATTGGTTGCATTATTATCAGGTTAACGAAATGTTTAAAAAGGACTTAAAAGAAAGAGGTTATGAGGTAAAAGAATCGAAATTTCAAATAGAAATAATAAACAATGAAAATAAAATTTTGTCCAAGATGTATAAAATCTTGCTAGAATGGTATACAAAAGATGAGGAAGTTAAATCGGTTATGATACACTGGGCCAGAGATTTGGGTTATAATATACAGTTTAATGATTGGATAAAACTGTGGAATGAAAATATAAAATTTACGGCATGTACTGCGTTAAAGGAAAATGTTATGAAAATGATTTATAGATGGTACATCACACCTGTGAAACTGGCAAAAATGTATAAAACATGTAATAAGTGTTGGAAATGTAAAGAAAAAGAAGGAACATTTTATCATATGTGGTGGGATTGTAAGAAGGTGAAGGGCTTCTGCGAAATGATATATACTGAGATGAAAAAGATGTTGAAATATACGTTTGTTAAGAAACCAGAGGCTTTTCTTCTAGGAATAGTAGGAAATGAAATAAATAGAATGGACTGTAAACTTTTCCAATATGCAGTAACAGCAGCGAGAATATTATTGGCCCAAAAATGGAAACAGGAACAACTGCCGACGCTCGAAGAATGGAGAATGAAACTGATGGAGTATGCTGAACTGGACAAACTAACAGGAAAGATCAGATATATACGAGATCAAAAGTTCATTGAAGACTGGGGAAAATTTTCAGACTATCTGAAATGTGTATGTGATGAGCAAATAACGCTAGTGGGATTTCAAGAAGTTCTGTAAATGATAGAGGACTATTGTATTGATGAAAACTAAGTGTGTGAAGGTTTATAAAATGCAATATAAAATTAGGAAATGCGTATTTAAAAATTTGAATAATGGATGATTGTCAGAGAGGTTGAAGGAAGTCTAAAAGAGAAAATATGTGATAAATTTAGATTGGATACTATAAATGTATGTTGGGAAATTTAATAAATAATAATAATAATAAAAAGAATTTTTTATTCCCACAATGGTAGTTTCACGCATTTCTGACATTAATTGGTAGCTTTAATACATTCCCCTTATTTCTGATTTTCAGGCTGTGAGTGCCTCTACTTATGTAGCCAAAACAGATTCACCCACAAACATGAGGGAAGAACCTGTAAGTTCAGGGGAACCCTGAGTTTTGCAGCAATAGAAAAATGATTGCGGGGGCAGGGAGATAAGAGGGGAAAATCACAATATACAGCCCAATGAGAACAAAATGTGAGCAGTTCACACACACACACACACACACACACCCAAAAAAATTGCTGGCTGCTGGGGTAGAGGAAATTAAAACTGGGTGGTGTGGGAATGGAATATATTGAGAAAGGGCATGGCTGGCAGGAACCCTGAATGGGAACATTCCACATAGCAAAATTTTGTTGCAGGTCCCACTTGTCATTATCAAACCTTGTTTATTATTGCAAACCTTGAGAACTTTGATGAAGAGATCCCTGAAGGTTTTCATAGTGTTAAAAAGATCGTCTAATGAGTGTGTGTTTCGATCTTCACAGAGATAATCAGCAAGCTCAGCTTTCTTTTCCACAAGGGCATTCATTTCTTCACCCAGTTCCTTGGAAGCATTTATGCTATCCTACTTGCAAACACAATTTGCACATGTTAGAAAACATTGTTCAAAATAACATTGCACCTGGTGTGGTTTGTTTGACTGATTTTACAGTTTGTATTTTGTTGGTCTTAATGCCCCGCTTAACCATTACTTACTAATATTATCATAAGCAGCCACAGAAAATAACAGTAATTGTAAGGTAAGATATACATTTTTTAAAAAACAACAGACTCAAGGGGGGTAAAGTATGTGAAAATGGTCCAAAAGAGCTCTTTAGCAGCTTGTGAGCAACTTTCTGAAATAAATAGAATAAAGGGCTTTCTAGCCAATCATCTTTTAGTCTACTAAATCGTAGGATCATAGAACCAAGGGTCATTTAGTCCAACCCCCTGCAATGCAGGAATATCAGCTAAAGCAGCCATGACAGATGACCATCCAACCTCTGCTTAAAAACCTCCAAGGAAAAAGAGTCCACAACCTCCCAAGGGAGTCCTTTCCACTGCTGAACAGCTCTTACTATCAGAAAGATCTTCCTGGTGTTTAGTTGGAATCTCCTTTCTTGTAACTTGAAGCCACCGGTTCAAGTCCTACCCTTCAGAGCAGGAGGAAACAAGCTTCTTTTCTCAGTTGTTGCCTGGGATCCCGACTTCTTCCTCAAGGAAGCACTTTTTATTTTGAATGGATCTCCTGTTTCGCACCATTCAGTTCACAACGCATTATTGCGAGGAATCTGTCTCCAGCTAGCCAGACCACTGCAATCTGCAGTACTGCCCAGAATGTTGTTGTTGTTTAGTCGTTTAGTCGTGTCCGACTCTTCGTGACCCCATGGACCAGAGCACGCCAGGCACTCGTGTCTTCCACTGCCTCCCGCAGTTTGGTCAAACTCATGTTCGTAGCTTCGAGAACACTATCCAACCACCTTGTCCTCTGTCGTCCCCTTCTCCTTGTGCCCTCCATCTTTCCCAACATCAGGGTCTTTTCCAGGGAGTCTTCTCTTCTCATGAGGTGGCCAAAGTATTGGCGCCTCAGCTTCACGATCTGTCCTTCCAGTGACCACTCAGGGCTGATTTCCTTAAGAATGGATGTGTTTGATCTTCTTGCAGTCCATTGGACTCTCAGGAGTCTCCTCCAGCACCATAATTCAAAAGCATCAATTCTTCAGCGATCAGCCTTCTTTATGGTCCAACTCTCACTTCCATATATCACTACTGGGAAAACCATGACTTTAACTATACGGACCTTTGTTGGCAAGGTGATGTCTCTGCTTTTTAAGATGCTGTCTAGGTTTGTCATTGCTTTTCTCCCAAGACTGTCCAGAATATGCTTGTGCAAAATGGCAAACCCGTCAACTGAAGGAGAAGAAGACTCTACTGCAGACAGAACCAATTGGCTTTAAGGCACAATGCGGGCAAACATCTTGTCTCTCTCTCTCTCTCTCTCTCTCGTGCACGCAATCTCTTGGCAGCAAGGGGCCTTGCTTTCAGAATTTTGCTCGACAGGCTGCCTAAATTAACCAGGCCAGTCTATTTGTTCTTTTCAGCCAGCTGAAGATAAAGTGCATTCATCTCATCTCTTAATGGGGTGGAGGGGAGCAGCATGGTTTGCATCCCAGGCGCACGAGGCCCCACTTTGCAAAAACCAAGGCACCCGGGGTCTGGACAGCGTCAGAATGAGCCACTTGAGAACCATATGTATGCTGCCAGTTCCATGATGGAAGAAAGATAATACATAAATAAATGTAGGGTGACAAATTGAAAACAAACGGCTACTCTCGCCCTGCACCATCACGCACCAGTGGTCTCTCCTAAACGTTATTCCACACGTTGCACCACTGGATAGCTCAGCTGGTTAGAGCAGGGTGCTGCTAACGCCAAGGTTGCAGGTTCGATCCCTGTATGGGGCAGCTGCATATTCCTGCATTGCAGGGAGTGGTACTAGTTGATCCTCAAGGGCCCTTCAAACTCTCTAGTTCTATGATTCTAAGAAAAGCCACAGGTGCTCCAGCACATGCATGCAGAGCCATGTTAGGGGCCACTCCATTTTCTTTCATTTCAGAGGGGTCATAGCTCCATGGTAAAGGTAAAGTTAAAGGGACCCCTGACCATTAGGCCCATCACTGGGGCTGCGGCGCTCATCTTGCTTTATTGGCCGAGGGAGCCGGCATACAGCTTCCGGGTCATGTGGCCAGCATGACTAAGCTGCTTCTGGCGAACCAGAGCAGCGCATGGAAACACCATTTACCTTCCCGCCGGAGCGGTACCTATTTATCTACTTGCACTTTGACGTGCTTTCGAACTTCTAGGTTGGCAGGAGTAGGGACCGAGCAATGGGAGCTCACCCCATTGCGGGGATTCGAACCGCCAACCTTCTGATCAGCAAGCCCTAGACTCTGTGGTTTAACCCACAGCGCCACCCGTGTCCCCATAGCTCCATGGCTTGTATGCAAAAAGATCTCAGGATTGATCCCTGGGACCTTCAGAGGGTCATGGAGAGAGGGTACAATACTGAGCTATATGGACTATTGATCTGATTCACATTCACACCATACATTTAAAGTAGTTGTATCAGTCATGGCTTCCCCCACAGAACCCTGGGATCTGTAGTTTGTCAATGGTGCAGAGAGCTTAGGACAGTGATGGCCAAACTTGGCCCTCCAGCTGTTTTGGGACTACAACTCCCATCATCCCTAGCTAACAGGACCAGTAATCAGGGATGGTGGGAATTGTAGTATGAAAACAGCTGGAGGGCCAAGTTTGGCCATCACTGGCTTAGGAGACCCGTAAGAAACTACAGTTCCCAAGATCTTTTGTGGAAAACCATGGTCACACATCCACATTGCATGTTCACATTTAGAGCATGGCTTCCCTTAAACAATCCTTGGAACTGTAGTTTAAGGGTGCTGGGAATTGTAGCTCCATCAGGGGTAAGCTACAGTTCCCATTTGTGTGGTTTTTTGGGGGGAGAGACATGTACAATAAATGCATGTTGTGGATGTGACCCATGACTCTTAAAGAGAGCAAGGACCTGTGAAACCCATTTAGCAGGCACAACTAAGAAACATTCTGGAATAAAAGGAAGCTTGAGTACCATTAGTAAATCCACGTAACTTACTTTAATAGATTTCCCAAACTGGACTTTCACATCATCCTTGGATGAAAATATCTTTTGCTCGATTTCCAACAATTTCTTTAGAAGGCCTTCCACTTCCACTTGCATCTCTTTTACATTGATTCTGGAAGAGGTTTAGTAAAAAAAAATTACAAGCAGCATCTATAGGCAACCCATTGTGGAAGCTTCCCTTCCTCAGCACCCCTACCCCCACCCCCACATGTCTCTCAATGGGAAACACAGAAGGAGAGTCTTTGTGATGAGAGAGATCATGCATGCAAGACAAAAGAAGGAGCCTTATCAATGGTCCTCTACCTGAGAGGAATGTGGATACAGGAATCACATTTCTGCAGCTGTGCCTCTGCAGAGTCCTTGTCCCCAGTGCCCTACAGCTACCCCATCCAGCACGAAAGGGGAGCTTTTCATCCACAGGGTGCTCCAAAGCTAAGCATTTAGGAATGCTGAAAACAGAAGGGCAGGCGTAGGCAAACTTGGCCCTCCAGATGTTTTGGGACTACAACTCCCATAATCCCTAGCTAACAGGACCAGTGGTCAGGGATGATGGGAATTGTAGTCTCAAAACATCTGGAGGGCTGAGTTTGCCTATGCCTGCACAAGGGGCTTCCGTTTCAAGGGAACCATGTGCAAGTTCTGCTACGTACAGCAGAGCTTCATGGAAAACACAGACGAAATCAGAGCACTCCAAGTCATTTGCTCATGTACGTGCACAGAAAACAGCAGATCTATCTGAAAGGCAACACCTGCATTAATGGTTGCAGTGCATCCATTAATTATTATTATTATTATTATTATTACTACACAACTGTATAATATTGTTGTGCAATCTTAGAAGGGGTGCAGCTGTGAGGGGCACAGCTGTGACTATCATGAAGGGACCCTGCACTTCTGAATTTGCCACCACACAACTGGTTAGACATTGTGTTGGGGTAACAGGAAGAAGAGGGGAAGGCAGGGCCTTCGCCCAGTTCTGTGTGTCCCCTCCCTCCCCCCGTCCCCATGCCACAGAGTTCTCTACTTGCTCATAGAGTGGACGCTCGGGTTGCGAACATGATCCTTGCGAGAAGCACGTTTGCAACCTGCAGCGTCCGCAACCTGCAGCGCCACGTCTGCGCATGCATGGGTTGCGATTCGGCACATCTGTGCACGCGCAAGCGTCAAAACCTGGAAGTAACCTGTCCCAGTACTTCCAGGTTCTGTGCGGTGTGCAACCCAAAATCACGCAACCCGAAGCGTCTGTAACCCGAGGTACGACTGTATTCTAATTCTGCTTTAACAAACACACATTAACCTTTTTATTTCAAATGTTAGAAGGGAGGAGAGTTTACCCAGCTGCCTTTGAAACGCACTCCAGGTCACTGGGAAGCTGTAAAAGGTCTCTGTGTTTTTTTTCAACCTCCTAAAACAAAACAAAACAAAAAGTAATAATCATGTATTTGCATCTGTAGAAAGCACCAACCAATTATTAGAAGTGCGAGAAAACAGGAAGCAGCCTTAAACTGAGTCAGGCCATTGGGTTCATAGCCCAACATTGTCATGGCCTGCTCTCCAGGATTTGAGGAAGTGTTATCTCTACCTGGAGATATTAGAGTTTGGACCTGGGACCTTCTGCATTAGGGGAATTTGTTTATTAAAATGTGTGTACAGTCAAACCTCGGTTCCCAAAAGCCTCCATTATCGTACATTTTGGTCCCGAGCACTGAAAACCCAGAAGTAACTGATCCAGTTTTTGAACAATTTTCAGAAGCCAAACAGCTTCTAGGGAGTTTTCTTCTTTTTTCTTCGCTGGGTGTTCAGTAGGGCAGTTCATAAAATACTTTTTCTTAAAATGCCTGCTCCAAAGGTCTTCTCTTACGACACTAGGGATTATATAGCTATATCTGAAATTTCATACATATCAGTTAATATCTTGACCCTCCTCCATGAAAATAGCTGTTTACTTGGCCATTTCCCTATGTCGTGAAGGCTGAAATTTCAATTCAGTGGAGCAGGTGAGGGGTGTTCAGGTGTAAAGGGAGGGTCTGGCCAGGTTGGTGAGTAGAGCAAGGAAAGGCAGCAGCCCCTAGCTTATTTATAATCATAAAATTGATGTCTTAAAAAGTGCAATCAGTTCTCATAAGGGGGCTCGAGTTTTGTCTTGTCTTAAAACAATACTGCTCCTAATGTATTCTCAGAATCAAAGTCAACCGCAAGAAAGAAGCAGAAAATGCATCCGTACCTCTAGGATGTGATGGAGCAGAGTAATGCTGTTTTTATTTGCTCTTGTCTCTGTTAGTTTGAGCAACGTGCTGATTCTGAAGCCTCCAGCATTCCCACTGTGACGCCCCTGAAAGATCAGATGTGATATGAGCCAACCACACAATTCCAAGAAAGAGGCACACCCAACATGTCCCTTTGCCATCACAGCTGGATGGCAACTGTAATAGACACACAGACATTTAGATATCTTGAGAAGCCACCAAACCAAGCATGCAAGACGAAGGGATGAAAGGGCCCAATAATAAAAATTATGGAATGGAGAACCAGACCACTCCAGTTCCCATCAGCCCTGGGCTGGCCTAACCAGTATTCAGGGATTACAGGATCCAAAAGCACCTGGAGGGCCACAGGTTCCCCATCCCTAAAGGATCCATAAAATATAAGTGAGGAATCTCATCATAGAATCATAGAGTTGGAAGAGACCACAAGGGCCATCGAGTCCAACCCCCTGCCAAGCAGGAAACACCATCAGAGCACTCCTGACATATGGTTGTCAAGCCTCTGCTTAAGACCTCCAAAGAAGGAGACTCCACCACACTCCTTGGCAGCAAATTCCACTGTCGAACAGCTCTGACTGTCAGGAAGTTCTTCCTAATGTTTAGGTGGAATCTTCTTTCTTGTAGTTTGGATCCATTGCTCCGTGTCCGCTTCTCTGGAGCAGCAGAAAACAACCTTTCTCCCTCCTCTATGTGACATCCTTTTATATATTTGAACATGGCTATCATATTACCCCCTTATCGTACTTGAGCAACAGCAAAAATGAAAACCCAGCCATGCACAAAGCTTACTGGGTGACCTTGGACCAATCTCCAAGGCTAATTAAATGGCTCAGGACTGCAATACAGTAGTACCTCGGGTTAAGAACTTAATTTGTTCCAGAGGTCCGTTCTTAACTTGAAACTGTACCTGAGGTACCACTTTACCTAATGGGGCCTCTTCTGTTCTCATCCTGAAGCAAAGTTCTTAACCCGATGTACTATTTCTGGGTTTGCAGAGTCTGTAACCTGAAGAGTCTGTAACCTGCGATACCACTGTACCTCAAGGACCGCCTCTTACCTTATGAATCTACCTGGACCTTGAGATCACCTTCTGAGGCCCTTCTTTGTGTGCCTCCTCCTTGAGAGGTCCGGAGGGTGGCAACACGAAAACGGGCCCTTTCTGCATCGCTCCCCATCTGTGGAACGCTCTCCCCAGGGAAGTTCGCCTGGCACCTTCATTATACACCTTTAAGGCGCCGGGCACAAAATGTTCCTCTTCAACCAGGCCTTTGGCTGATTGAATCCAATGCGCTTTTAAAATGTGTTGGGGAGAGGGGGTTACTGGGTTGTCTTCGTTTGTATTATGTACAGTGGACGCTCGGGTAGCGAACGTGATCCATGCAGGAGGCACGTTTGTAACTCGCAGCGCCACTTCGGCACATAGCGCAATTCTGCGCATAGCGCACTTCTGCGCATGCGTGAGTGCCGAAACCCGGAAGTAACCCGTTCTGGTACTTCTGGGTTCGGTGTGGTGCGCAACCCGAAAACGCGCAACCTGAAGCATCTGTAACCCGAGGTATGATTGTATTTTGTGGTTTTAATGGCCATTTTATGCCATGAACCGCCCTGAGACTTGCGGGTATAGGACGGTATACAAATAAATTATTAATAATAATTATAGTTGCTGAGGAGTCTAGTACATGAACAACAATAAAAGGTATGCCTGTTCAGCCATGAAACTTCCTGGGTGACCTTGGCACTATCAGCACCTTTTACCCCAGAGATAGGGAACATCAGGCCTGAGGTGTGGTGGGTGTACAAAATGCAGACCTCCAGGCCTCTCTATGATCCACTCCAGGCTACAAATTTCTCCCCCCCCCCCATTGATTCCTCCTTTTCACTGGCATTTATTTATTTATTTATTCATTTATTATTGGTTTTCACATTTTACATTACAATACAGATGTACCAAAGCCAACACCATTTCTTCCCCATCCCCCCATACATTTACATTTCCTCAATCCATCATATTATTCTTTTCTCCTTCTTCCTACTTCCCTCCGCCCCCACTTGATTGCTTCACATTATACAATTTACAATAATCTTTGCATTCTACAATCTTCTCAAATCATCTATATATTCTTATTATCTTTCCTTACTAATTTTTCTTCCATCCAGTACTTCACATTTTAATCTAGACATATTAGCCTATCATTTTTTGAGCAATATTTTGCCAGGCTACAACTTTCAGTGGCCCAAGCGTTTTTGCCTGGCCAGAATGCATCCTTGAATTCCCCTAATGCCTCTTTCTTCCCTGTCTGGATGGACAATAGAAAGGAGTTAAGCACGTGTGTGTATAAACTAGCCCAGCAGTTCCCAACCCTGGGCCTCCAGCTGTTTTTGGACTACAACTCCCATAATCCTCAGCTAGCAAGACCAGTGGTCAGGGATGATGGGAATTGTAGTTCGAAAACAGCTGGAGGCCCAAGGTTGGGAAACACTGAACTAGCCTACCGTACAAAGGCAAAAGTTTACATTGATTGCTCCACCCACTTTTGCCCCAGCCCCACCCACTGCCAGCATAGGGCTCCCCCAAGGGTCGCCTAGAAGGCAATGTGGTCCCTCAGGGTGAAGCAGGTTCCCCACCCCTGTCTCAGCCTAACCTACTTTGCAGGGTTGTTGCAAAGATAAACCAGGGGCAGAAGCGGACCATATACAATAGTCTAAAGTTCCCTGGAGGAAAGGGTTAGGAAAGAAGAGATAAAAAAAGGTGAGACAGGTAGGTATTACCCCACTCTCCCCACCTTCTTACATAATTTAAGAAGTTTCCAACTTTCAGAATCAACTGGCAGAACAATGGCAGACGCCGGTTTGTAAGAAGAGCTGAAAAAGAGAAGAATGCAAATGTCATTTTTCCTTGGAGTTTGCACAAAAAACCCACCCCTGCTGCTCCGTGTCTTGCATTTAAATTCAGGAAGAAAATAATATTTAGGTTGCAATTGAAAACTGAACTCAGTGGGCAGTTCTTCTGAGTACTCTTGTATTGAATTGTTAAAGGTAAAGAGACCATTAAGTCCAGTCGTGGACGACTCTGGGGTTGTGGCGCTCATCTCGCTTTACTGGCCGAGGGAGGCGGCGTACAGCTTCCGGGTCATGTGGCCAGCATGACTAAGCCGCTTCTGGTGAACCAGAGCAGCGCACGGAAATGCCGTTTACCTTCCTGCCACAGTGGTACCTATTTATCTACTTGCACTTTGCCGTGCTTTCGAACTGCTAGGTTGGCAGGAGCAGGGACCGAGCAACAGGAGCTCACCCTGTCGCAGGGATTCGAACCACCGACCTTCTGATCGGCAAGCCCTAGGCTCAGTGGTTTAGAATTGAATTGTTAGTTGTCTTTAAATGATGAGTAACTGGGGTATCCAATTAAGTCACTGATAAAATATAAAGCTACACAGAACTACAAAGTGTGTGAATCAAATAAAAATCAAAGCATCTCCAAAAAGACATTAGAGTTTTCGGCTAGCATTATTTTCACCTGTTTGGGTGACTTGAGCAAATTAATTTATTTAATCTGGATCGTCAATGGTTACTGGTCACAATGGCCAAGTTCTACCTCCATTGCTGAAGGCAGTATGCTGGGAATCACAAGCAGGCTGAGGGTCCTGCTGTGCTCCTGTTTGTGGGCTTTTGAGAGCATCTGGTTGGCCACTGTGAGAAGAGGATGCTGAATTAGATGGGTCTTTGGTCTGATCCAGCACAGCTCTTCTTATGTTCTCATGCTGCCATTCCACCCTTAGTCTGGGCAAGAGCAGCATTTGGTACTAGATGCAAAACTCAAAATAAAATTGGAAGCTTGGGATTGTGGTTTTTAAAGGGAATTTACAGATCATGCGGACGGGAGGTGTGTTGAATGGTCTCTTTAAATTTGAAGGTTCATTATTGTTCCACAGGATGTGTATTTCTTTAAAAGCCAGAGCAAATAACATGACCTAGTTTTACAGCGCTGAAGCAGTATAGCAGGGGCTGCTGCTGCTGCTGTTGTTTAGTCGTTTAGTTGTGTCTGACTCTTCATGACCCCATGGACCAGAGCATGCCAGGCACTCCTGTCTTCTACTGGCTCCCGCAGTTTGGTCAAACTCAAGTTGGTAGTTTCGAGAACACTGTCCAACCATCTCGTCCTCTGTCATCCCCTTCTTCTTGTGCCCTCCATCTTTCCCAACATCGAGGTCTTTTCCAGGGAGTCTTTTCTTCTCATGAGGTGGCCAAAGTATTGGAGTCTCAGCTTCAGGATCTGTCCTTCCAGTGAACACTCAGGGCTGATTTCCTTCAGAATGGATAGGTTTGATCTTCTTGCAGTCCATGGGACTCTCAAGAGTCTCCTCCAGCACCATCATTCAAAAGCATCAATTCTTCGGCGATCAGCCTTCTATATGGTCCAGCTCTCACTTCCATACATCACTACTGGGAAAACCATAGCTTTAACTATACGGACCTTTGTTGGCAAGGTGATGTCTCTGCTTTTTAAGATGCTGTTAAGTTGTGGTAATTAAGCTGTTGGGTATGGTATATAAAGAGCAGCATGTAGCTCTCTCAGTACCCTGGTGGATGGGTCATGCTTATTGATATATTGTAAGGTAAAGGGGACCCCTGACCATTAGGTCCAGTCGTGACCGACTCTGGGGTTGCGGCGCTCATCTCGCTTTATTGGCCGAGGGAGCCGGCGTACAGCTTCCAGGTCATGTGGCCAGCATGACTAAGCTGCTTCTGGCAAACCAGAGCAGCACACGGAAACGCAGTTTACCATCCCACCAGAGCAGTATCTATTTATCTACTTGCATTTTGACGTGCTTTCAGACTGCTAGGTTGACAGGAGCAGGGACCGAGCAACGGGAGCTGACGCCATCACAGGGATTTGAACCACTGACCTTCTGATTGGCAAGTCCTAGGCTTTGTGGTTTAACCCACAGAGCCACCTGTGTCCCATTTATTTATTGCAATTTAGTGTAAAAGGAGTTTTTGTTTTTGTTATTAAAACCTAGCAAAAGTTGGTTTTGCATTTCTTGAATGTGTGGTCTCCCCAGCACACCCTCTGCAGAGCAACTAGTCTGCAAAATAACCAACAAGGTGCTGCCAGTCAATGACAACAATACTAAGTTAGACAGACCAATGGTGTGAATCTTTTTCATTTGTTCCTAAATTTTGCAGTCCACTTACTCTCAGCAGCTGCTCTGACCAATTTTGCTTTGGGCCAAAGCAGATCCAGCATAATGTTGGTCTCCGTACATATCAGCATGCCTTCAATCCTCAAGTGGTAACTAGGAAGAGAAACCAGTATTTTTTATTTATTTTTTATTTTATTCCCTTTCCAATCCAGCTCCTGTTTGTTCCTCATTTGTTCCTCATTTCCAAGGTCCTCCTTCCTGGTTCTCTCTAACCCTAGTGTGCTTCTCAGTTCCAATTCCTCCTTGCTTCTTGGCTCTGACTCAATTCCTGGCTCACCTTGGACAGCTGCCTACAGCTCTGCCCTGACAAACACCCAGGGCTAGGGCAAGAGACTCTCTGCTGAAAGACAAGATGGTGCCCCGCCGCAAAAAAATTACAACCCCAAAACAAAATCCACTTCTAGAAGCTAACCTGATTGGCAGTTGTCACACTGGTGACAGGACAATGGCCTCTAGCACAGCAGTTGAGGGTAGCAAACTTACTTATTTTTTATTTTCTGAAAGGTTTCTTATTTAAAAAAAAAAGATTTCTTCCCTTCCCTTTATCACAAGGGGAGGCAATGAAACTGGGCAAGCTGCTCCAAAATCAAGGCAAAGAAAAAGACAATAATATATTGTATGATCTGTTAATAGTTCACAGAATATGGTTCAGAATGGAAAATAGGGAAAAGAAATGCTGGACAAATCCTTCCTTAGCATTCTGTTGGCGCAGGAAAGGCTTACAAATGTAAAAACAAGAAAAGGGTAAAAACAGTTCCGTACGTAAAAACAATACAAACATTTTAAAAACAATTGCACGTAGCCAAACTGTTAAAACTATAGTAATTCCAATAGAGATGCAGACTTAGGTGACACAAACCCCTGCTGTCAGTTCTCTGCTGCCAGCGCCACCCCACAAGAAACTGCTGCCTGAGGCAGCCACATCACTCTACCTAATGGTAGAACCAGCCCTGCAAACGCCTATGCTAGTCATGCAGAACTTGTAGGCAAGGGGAAGTAAAAGACGGCTCTTACCTGGGAACTTCAAGGAGACACAGATAAAACTGATCTGCATTTCCAAGCTTGGCTTTTTCGCCCTTGAATGCTTTCATTCTCTCAATCTGACAAAAGAGAGGAAGACTCGTCACTACCAGCTCTGAACTGCAAGCAGCGATACCCAGACATAGTACATTGCTTTTTTTTTTGTAAACCACTTAAAGTGTGTGTTCTCCTCCCTTTAACTGTATGAAGCAAGAAGCATTTTATAAATTAAGAAATAAATATTAAGAAGAGGACTACAGTTCCCAGAGCCCTTTGGGGGATGCCTGCTCTAGCTATCTCCGGCTTGGACTACTGCAATGCACTCTATGTGGGGCTACCTTTAAAGGTGACTCGGAAACTGCAATTAATCCAGAATGCGGCAGCTAGACTGGGGACTGGGAGTGGCCGCCGGGACCACATAACACCAATCCTGAAAGATCTTCATTGGCTCCCAGTATGTTTCCGAGCACAATTCAAAGTGTTGGTGCTGACCTTTAAAGCCCTAAACAGCCTCGGTCCTGTATACCTGAAGGAGCGTCTCCACCCCCATCGTTCAGCCCGGACACTGAGGTCCAGCTCCGAGGGCCTTCTGGCGGTTCCCTCGCTGTGACAAGTGAGGTTACAGGGAACCAGGCAGAGGGCCTTTTTGGTAGTGGCACCTGCCCTGTGGAACACCCTCCCAGCAGATGTCAAGGCAATGAACAACTATTTTACTTTTAAAAGACACCTGAAGGAGGCCCTGTTTAGGGAAGTTTTTAATGTCTGACGCTGTATTGTTTTTGATATTTGGTTGGAAGCAGCCCAGAGTGGCTGGGGAGACCCAGTCAGATGGGCGGGGTATAAATAATAAATTATTATTATTAATAAAATGTGAGAGGCATCATGCCGCCGAATACAACTTGCTGGGAATTGCAGGTGGGCAGAGTGCTGTGGAGCTTATGCCCAGCTTTGCAGACTGTGTGGCCTCTGAGAACAGAACTGGATGAGCCATTGGCCTGATCAAAGCAGGCTCGTCTTATGGTATGTATGCACTCACGTGCCTTGCCAGCTCCAGGGAGGTCAGGAGCACCACTTGTGATTGCCTAGCAACTTCCAAATATGCTCTCTTAATAGTTGCAGAGCATGACTAATGGCTTTGAGACAACTCTCAAGTTATTTCTTAACTTAACCTTCAGAAATAGCAAGACATCTGGCACGGGTTCCAGTTCCATGAATGAAAGAAAGCTAGTCTGGTGCAGTGATGACAGTGGGGAGTGGAGAACCTTCACTCCCAATTTGGGGGTTGCATTCCCCTGGGGGTTCTTCTGTGTGTCAGTGGTGGGTTGGGCCACAGGCAAAAATGGGTGGGGCCACAGGCAAAAGTAGGCAGGTCAGGGACACTCCCTTCTCTCCCTCCTCCGATCTTCCCATCTGCATGTAATTAAGCCACGCATAATGGCCTCAGCTGTTACAGGGTCAGGGAAATTACGACAACTTTCTTGGTGCACTAATAAGCACATCTAAAATTAATATAGGGGGGAAGCCAGTATTCATACCTCATGGTTTTTGGGCAGAAGCTTCATTAGGTTTTTCAGGGTCTCTTCGTCAAACATGCTCCTGTCACCTTTCCAAATCATGTCGGCTATTTGCTGATTCGAGCTACAGGAAAGAAGTGGAATGGTTAAGATGCACAAATATAAAAGCTAGGAAGAAATCTCAGCACAGGCGCCCCGTCCCCCCAACTTACGTGGGAGTTACGTTCCGGGGCCCCGCATGCATAAGTGAAATCACATCAAGTGGGGAGCACCCGCTAAACACCCTCTCTTCAATCAAAAGTACTGGATCCAAAAATACCCACAGCTAGAATTGAAAATCTGGAGGAGGCGAGAGGACATGCGGGGAGGCTGAGCAGTGTAAACAAAGCCCCACTGCGCCTCATGTCTCTTTGGGGCTTCCTCCACCCTCACTGACCTCTTCGGGCTCCAGGGAGGGTCTGCTTGCAAGCCACGAGGACTCGTCAGCTCTCTCCCGCAATTTCCAGGTTTTAATTGAATTATTTACTTATTTCCTGGCGACGCACCTATATGCAGTTGTGCAAAAGTCAGTAGTGTATGGGGGGGGGGATGCCTGTAAATGGGAGAGTTGTTGGCAGGGTTGTTGTCCGGTTGGATCCAGTTCACATGCTTTATTACTGAAGGACCCATGCAAAGTGAAATCACAGCACAAATCCCTTGGCAGATGGCTTGCGTCAGGACTTTCCAAACTGTGCGTCGCGACACATTTGTGTGTTGGCTGCAGTGTGTAAGTGTGTCGTGCAAACGCTCCCTGCGCTCCTCCCCTGGGAGCTGGAAAGGGGATAGTTTAACCTCTGGTTTGCTAGTAAAACTGAATTACCGTGTCGCGAAATTATGCAAGTCTAAAAAGTGTGTCGCCAACATGAAAGGTTTGGAAAGCTCTGGGCTTACATAGTCATCTCCTTTGGTTCCCCATGCTGTGTTCAGCCAGCTTGGCCCATCTTAAAAACTTTTGTCACACTTATATGCTCTTACTGGCGGTAGAGAGGAAACAAACTGGAAGGAGAGAGGTCATCTCAGTGGCATCTCCTGCTAAAAAGGATCTCGGAAAGACCTCTGCCTTGAGACCTTGGACAGCCAGTGCCAATCAGACTAGACAATAGATGCGCCAACGATCTGATGCCCTACAAGGCTTCATATTTGCTCATGTTGAAGTTCTGCCTATGCTGCTGGGGGCCAGGTTTAGTCATCGCTCCCCCTCACCCCACCCAACGCATTTAATTGACCAAGTAACTCTCACCATTTAAATTGCTTTAGCACTATGTTCAGATGGAGACTTTTCTTTCGATCTACGAAGGAAATCTGTTTAAGAGGGGGGTAGTTAAAAAAAATTAGTAGCAGGAACAAGTTAATACTGCTTGCCTACTTTCTTTGAACAAAGCTCTGAGACACAGAGAATGTGCAGCGGTTTTCAGATTCCTCACCATCTCCCCACTTCCTAGCATTTTTATAGTGCTATATGTTGTTATGTTATGTTATGTTATGTTATGTTGATGTTTGTTGATTTTATGTTGTTGTTATGTTATTGTTATGTTTTATGTTATGTTTCATGTTGTTGTTGTGTTGTGTTGTGTTGTGTTGTTATGTTGTTATGTTATGTTATGTTATGTTATGTTATGTAATGTTATGTTATGTTATGTTGTTATGTTATGTTATGTTGTGTTAATCTGCTTTCCTCACAAAATTGACCCAAAACAAACTAACACAGTATAAACCCAAAAAACCAATCAGAAAAGGCACATCCTAAAAACACATTTGTACAAACAAAAGACAGGTCTTAAGAGATGCCAAGGGGCTGACTTTGGTAATCTTTCGTAACATGGCAAGCCCAAAATTTGGTGCCCTCAAATGGATCTTCTCAGCTATGGATCTTCTCAATTTTTGCTCCCCCTTGGCTTGCCATCCTGTGCGAGGGAACCAGCCCCCTCTCCTGGCCCAAAATCCAGCAGTGAAGATCCTGCCCTGCTAAAAGAGACCACAAGTGCTTAAAACCCATCAAATTATGGGGAATGACACTCAGCTATTGTACCTCCTTTGGCTTCTTCAGTCTGAGTTCTGTTTTCTCCTGCTGGCTTGCCTGAGATACACAGAAGAGTCGCTCTATGCTAATATAATCAGGCTCTATAGCTTCATCACCATTGGTCACCGCTGAAGTCCAGAGAGAACGGCCACCTGGAAAAGACACACAATGATGGAGCGTTTCCAGCTCTACAATCCTATGATTCTATGGACATCTGCAGTGCCACAGGTTAACCACCCCTGGTTTATTATAGAACACACTTGAAAACAGCCCTGCTGGAGCCAGACCAAAGACCCATCCAGTCCAGCATCTTAATAATAATAATTTTATTATTTAAGCCCCATCAGGCTGGGTTGGCTTGTTCTCAGATGCCCATGGGAAGCCCACAACCAGAACTTGAATGCAATGGCACTTTCCCTACACAGTGGGCAGCAGAGGTAGAACACAGCCAGCGTACTCACTTTTCGTGGCATCTAAGGGAAGCGTTTGCCAGTTGAACGGCTTCATTTTCAGCATTGGCCTCTGAGCCTTCGTGGAGCCTTCAACGCTGCAGGACGGCAGGGCCTTGTTGCACAGAGACGTGGCCTTCATCAAAGGAGGGGAAGGAGGGGGTGGCAGAGGTGAAAGCGGAAGCCGCAGCATAGGCAGAGACGGGAACTCTCTGGGCGTGGCATGTGCAGTTGGAAGCTGGCAAGACCGCAAGTGCTCAGAGGATGGAGATGTTGTCGTGGCTTCCATTGGGTCAAGTATATCTTGAGAGCTTCTCTTTCCACTTGAGGGTTCTTCTTCCAAGTCCATGTCCACCTGAATGCACTTACTTGTTTTCTTGGTAAGGTGTTTTGCACCCATGTGGCTTTTCGCAAAACATTCTTTGCAGCTCAGAGGTTGCTCCATCATGGCTTTTTCTTCCTTTCATTCCAAAACCCCCCAAAAGAGAATGGAGACATTTATTTTCAAAACTGGGATCAAGCAAGAGCATTTCCATCCACGGTGTATCTAAGAGTGATTCTGAAAACATCGGGGATGATTGTGTTGAATATGCCGTATTTGAAATCATAAGCAAGTACCAAAAACCAGTACCAAAAAAATCAAGGTCACGGGTTTGATTTCTGTATGGGACAGCTACACATTTCCTGGACTAGATGATCCTCAGAGCCCATTTTAACTCTACAATTCTGTTAAGGTGTGGGTGAACATATCAGATGACACAGCGATTTTTCAAACAGCTCTTCTTTATTCAGATGCCAGAACAGAACTGAACTGAAGGGCTCAGTCAGCCTGCTTATATAGAGCTCCAGAACAACGTAACTGTTGCAATTTTCTAAAACTATCCAATCACTGAACGTCACTTTCGATCCTTCGTTTGCATAACTATCTACAGTATCCCCCTGCTGGCCCAGGGTGAGAACTTCAGTACATAACAAATTCTATGATTTGCACTGAGTAATGGAATCACAACATTTTGGGCATGTGTCTGTTGTATCTCGAATTACAGATAGAGCTGTATATGCAACCCTGTACAGTACAGTATTTTTCGCTCCATAAGACACACTTTTTTCCTCCTAAAAAGTAAGGGGAAATGTGTGTACGTCTTATGGAGTGAATGCAGGTGGGAGGCAGGCGAGAAAAGCCCCCAAGAGCCACACACACACTCCGCTGTCACTGACGGGCTGTCCTTCTCCCACCTCGTAGAAATGCCCACAAGAGCCGTGCACCCTTTAAAGAGCGTGCGGCTCTTGCTGGCTTTTGTGGGAGGTGGGAGAAGGGACAGAGGGCAGCCCCTCAGTCCCTTTCCCCACCTCCCGGAAAAGCCCCCAAGAGCCGTGCTCCCTTTCACGAGCCATGTGGAGCTCAACGCGGCTTGTGAAAGGGAGCACTGAGCAGAGCCTGGGATGCCTACAGGCTCTGCTCAGCGCTCCCTTTAAAAATATTTTTTTCTTGCATTCCCCCTCTAAAAACTAGGTGCGTCTTATTGTCGGGTGCGTCTTATGGAGCGAAAAATAGGTAGTTTACAAAACCAGTGCTTCTGGCACAGACACTTGTGCCCAAAATACATTTTTTCTTCTCAAAAGAAAAACTCAAGTTGAGTTCTAGTCCTCATGTTCTGGGGCAGGACCATAGTTTCGTGGTAGTCCACCTGCCTTGCATACAGAAGGCCCCAGGTTCAGTCCTTGGTGTCTCCAGGTGAGGCGGAGAATGGCTGCCATCTTGAGAGAGCCATTTCCAGTTTAAGATAATACTGAGCTAGAGGGACCCATACTCTGACACAACATAACATATATGCAACTGCTTTCAAGCTATCTTTGCCCTTCCTTTAAAAAAATGAAAGCTGTTGGTATATATCTGATAGCCAGCTCAGTTCTCCAAGTACACTTAGTTCCTTAGGTAGCCAAAACAGCACCAACCGCAAAGAACAGGGATATATCAGAGGAAGCTGCTCTCTGCTGAATCAGACCCTTGGGGACTTCTGGAGCAGCGCACTCGGAGGATGGGTGAAGGATTGCGCTCTTGGCAACTCGAGGCAGTCCAGACGCCAGAGAAAACCGAGGGAGAACAGGAGGCGTGAGTTTTCCCGAGCTCAGGTGGGGATCCTGAGTACAGAGCCCAGGGCAGTGCATTGAAGGGGTTTCCCCAAAACCATTTAAAATCCATTTTAAAACGTCTGTTAACGTCTCCAAACCCGGCGAGGAAGCGCTGAACTCTCCATTAAGTTTAAAACTGGAGATAAAGAGACCCCTGCCCCTCCCTCCTTATAAAGAACCGGAAACTGGAAAACTGCTGGTTATCGGAAGAGCACAGGGGCGGAGGCAGCAGAAACAAAGAATATATAAAATACAGAGTGAGCTTTTAAGAGTGAAAGGGGACCAATCCCCACAGCACTAACAGTTACTGTTCCTAAACTTCACAAAGGTGCCTTATAAGAGTGAATATAACCCAGCAGAGAGATTTAAAACAGGAAAGATAGAGACTGCTGAGAAAGAGACTGCTTAAACTGCAAACACATAGGGATGTATCAGAGGAAGCTGCTCTGTGCTGAATCAGACCCTTGGGCCCATCTAGTTCAATACTATCTACTCCGACTGGCAGCAGCTCTCTGGTATTTCAAGAAAGGGGACACTCGCAGCCCCTACCTGGTGATACCAGAGGCTGAATCTGGGACTTTATGTATTATTATTTTTATTATTATAAAATGCAGGATAAATACACAAAATACATAAGAAATACAAGGAGGAAAACCCATAACACCCCCCCCAAACACATTTAAAGGCCTAGTTGAAGAGGAACGTTTGCGCCTGGAATCTAAAGATATAATAATAATAATTTATAATAATAATTTATTATTTATACCCTGCCCATTTGGCTGAGTTTCCCCAGCCACTCTGGGCGGCTCCCAATCAAGTGTTAAAAAACAGTACAGCATTAAATATTAAAAACTTCCCGGAACCGGGCTGCCTTCAGATGTCTTTTAAAGATAGGATAGCTGCTTATTTCCTTGACATCTGAAGGGAGGATGTTCCACATATATAATGAAGGAGCCAGGCAAGCCCTCCCTGGGCTCAGCATTCCACAAACAGGGAGCCCCTGCAGAATATAGATAACTCAGTTGGTTAGATCATGGGTAGGCAAACTAAGGCCCGGGGGCCGGATCCAGCCCAATTGCCTTCTAAATCCGGCCCGCAGACAATCCAGGAATCAGTGTGTTTTTACATGAGTAGAATGCATGCTTTTATTTAAAATGCATCTCTGGGTTATTTGTGGGGCATAGGAATTTGTTCATTCCCCCCCCCAAAAAATATATAGTTTGGCCCCCACAAGGTCTGAGGGACAGTGGACTGGCCCCCTGCTGAAAACGCTGGCTGACCTCTGGGTTAGATTAATTGATTTTGCCAACAGATGGCTCTGCACAACTCCTTTTACAGTGTGGAGTAGTGGTTAAGAGCAGTGGACTCGTAATCTGGGGAACCGGGTTTGCTTCCCTGCTCCTCCACATGCAGCTGCTGCTACACTTCTCTGAAGTCTCTCAGCCTCACTCACCTCACAGAGTGTTTGTTGTGGGGGGGGAGGGAAAGGAGAATGTTAGCCGCTTTGAGACTCCTTAAAGGGCGTGAAAGGCGGGATATCAAATCCAAACTCTTCTTCTTCTTCTTTAGAAGAAAAACTAAAGAAGGAGACTGGGCAGCCCTTTGCCCCTTTAGCATCTCCGCCAAGTGACATTTCAGCAGCGGAAAGATCTTAAAGAAATATTCGCTTTGCACCAGAATTCTGCTTCCATTCTTGGATTCTGAGACCAAAACCTAATTGCCCCATGCAGTAATTGGTGTTTGCCTAGACCCCACTTTGAAGCCTGCCTCTGGATTTTGACACACAAAGCCTGCTAAGAAGTCCTGCATGGGCAAAGCAGCTGCTCTGTTGCCGAGTTACAGCCCTGCCTCAGTTCAGGGGGTCCCAAAGATTTGCAGAAGCACAAAAAAATCTTTAGAAATGAAGAACCAAGGAACTGAAACTCCCTACCTGCCCAAGCCAGCCCAGTCACAAGGTCAACCAACCCAGTGGGGACTGAGCATGCTCAGTGAACAGTGACTGGCTTTTAGGGGTAGAATAGACAGAAAACAAGGTGGGGTAGGGAATGGAATGGAATGGAATGGAGAGTCATGGGAGAGAAAGCATAGCTAGAGGGCTTCACGCTGCAACATTTCGTTGCAGATCCCACTTACATTATCCAGACATTATTAAACTCTCAGGATGCATATATACCTAATGCAGGTATTTGACTTGAGTTTCTGATAAAAGTATTTATGCTGATATTTGCCCTCTTTCAAAGCTGAAAGACATTGTACCGCATATTACCCAAACAATTAAGGTGATTCAAGAAACATACGGGGTAACAACTGTGGAGTTTAAAAGGTACCTATGTTAGTAGTTTTACCCACCGTATATGTTTAAACAATAGACTTATGTCGCAGGAGAAAAATAACAACCCACCTCGTAATGAAAACATTTAGACTAAAATTAAATCGCAAAAAATAAATATTTTCAAACTTAAAAATAACAATATGAAACTCCTACAGATGCTCACTGTGTTTTAATGCAATCCAGTTAAGATGTAAAATAAACTTTCTTCAGTAAGATTACTCTAGGTGATAAAGGAATTTACAGAAAAGTACACCACAGATTACTTTTTGAAACATACTATAAAACTATTGCCTGTAAAAAACGAGTTGTGTTATCCCTGTTTATAAAGAGAACTTTACCTTACTTTGTTGGTTAAATATTCAAGACAACTGACTCAGTTGACTTTAAAGCAAAAACCCCAAGTGTATGACTTGCAGCTAACAAACAGCAGTAAATTTGTCAACTCATCCTAATTCCTAATTAACCAATCCTACCTCAAACACTTACACGTGAGACAGAGGTGGGTCACATTCACAACCTATGCTTAAAGCACTGTGATACCACTTTAAGCAGTCGTGGCTACCCCAAAGAATTCTGGGAGCTGTAGTTTGTTTTGAGCATTATTAGGCCCTATTTCCCAGTGAAGCTACAGTTCCCCAGGAAGAGGGGGTTGCATGTTAAAGCACAGGGAAAAGAGGCCCTGGAGGTAGGAAGCTTGAGAACCGTTGTGCTAATAACTCATGCAAAGCAGCGCATTGTGGAGACCAGCCTGGAGAAAGATGGAAAGAGCATCTTTCCCCCACTAGATGGTGCACGCTCATTAGGCAGTCCTTCCTTCAGAAGCTGGGCTACCCTAGGTCCTTTCCCATTGGGTGACAATTCTTGGTCACCTGGGAAACCCAGGGACCAGTGAGGGTGCCGCTTTGCATCGCAAGGGTTACCCATTCCACCAGACACACACAATGCAGCAGCTGTACATAAATGGCTTTGTTATGCAACTGGTCTGAAGCAGAAATGTGCGAGCCTTTCCAGAAAGATATTTGTTTGGCTGCTTTTCCTGAGCCAGGAGAAGGGGGGAGAAGGGAGAAGAGTTTCAGAAAAAAACAAAGCACCACAAAGAAATCAGGTCCATGCTAGTTTTGTTGCACCTGGCTGTGTTGGACACAGCAAGGAATAATTATTTAATTACTTTCAGGAGTAAATAGGGGAGCCGCCTTCCACGTCCCAGAGCTGCTCCTGTGCCCTTATCTCAACAAGGACAGACTATTGTTGTCTATGCTCTGGTAACCTCTAGGTTAGATTACCACAACACGTTATATGTAGGCCTGCCTACATGTGTGTCCATGGGCTTTAAATGAGCAATATGACTCTATATCTGAAATTCTTCTTGGGTGATCACTCAGAGCCACACGATCTTCCACAGTGGGTACATAGGCTTCTGGACAGTTGATCACGGTGAGGGTTGGCCAAATGTGTCTTCCTCCTAGCACGTTTGTCGCTTTCGTCCTGAGGTCGATTATCTTCAAAGTCCATGACACCTTTGGTAAAGGTTGTTCTCCAATTAGAGCGCTCGCAGGCCAGTGTTTCCCAATTGTTGTGTTTATACTACATTTTTTTAGATTTGCCTTGAGAGAGTCTGTAAACCAATTTTAATACAAATAGATAAGTGTGGTTCTTGCACAACAATATTTGGAAAGAGCAAAAAAAGAGAGGTGTGGGGGGATGCGGGTGGCGCTGTGGTCTAAACCACTGAGCCTCTTGGGCTTGCCAATTGGAAGATCGGCAGTTCGAATCCCCATGATGGGGTGAGCTCCCGTTGCTCGGTCCCAGCTCCTGCCAACCTAGCAGTTCAAAAGCACGTCAAAGTGCAAGTAGATAAATAGGTACCGCTCTGGCATTTCCGTGCTCTGCTCTGGTTTCGCCAGAAGTGGCTTAGTCATGCTGGCCACATGACCCAGAAAAACTGTCTGCGGACAAACGTTGGCTCCCTTGGCCAGTAAAGCGAGATGAGCACCGCAACCCCAGAGTCGTTCATGACTGAACTGTCAGGGGTCCTTTACCTTTACCTTTTTAAGAGAGGTGTGGCACCATGGAGTGCTTCAGCAGACAAAGCAGATTTGGAAAATGTGTTTTCAGCTGTGGTGCAGAACAACAAAGGCAGAACAAAATGGGAAATACTAGACATTTGTGCTAAGAAATGTTACAGGATATCAGAAGGAAGCTGCAGAACATTGACTGATTGTAGTATGTCCACCGTGGAACTTTTTCATGTGCAAGCAGTATTGAAAATGGCATCTAGTATACTCATCCTGATAATGTCATGAGCACAAATAGACATGAATGCACAATAAAAAAAGGTTGTTTGGAGTGGCCCTTATGCAGTGCTTTTTTTCTTTAAAAAAATGTTTAGGGGTACTTTCATTTTCCTACTCATATTGAAATACTGATCCTCAATGAGGCCAAACTTGAGATTCACAAAATGTTAGGGGTATGTGTCCCCCCAGAAAAAAATTACTGCCCTTATGTATGTACTCCTTTACGTTCCATGATAGGTAGGATGTAAGTGTCCTAAATAATAATAAAGGTCTCCTTTGTGTTCAAAAGTTGCTCATCAGTTGCTCATAAAATATAATCAATCCAGCGAACAGTTCTGCGGAACTTGAAACTTCACATATACTGTGCTGTGAACTTTGGTAGATCCTAATAGAGGAATTGTTTTACTGTCCAGTTTTGTTCAACCGGATCTGCTTTAGATAAACTTAAGAGACAAAGTTTCCTGTAGCTTCATCTGGTGCACAAATCTGCCCTTTTCATTTTTTTCTAGGCCCACCCCACAAAATTACAAGCACACAGACTCATGCATGGCAGTTTGTGTGTTTTTCTGTTTATATCCTTCCTCTGTTTCCCTAGTTTGGCTTCTCTTTGTTTGTACTATGGCTGCAACAGAGGCAGAGTCTCCCTCTCCCGGACTGACCCTGGGCAGAGAGCTATTGTTCCTGCTTCTGCGCACACTGCCACAGTAGGTTGGCAAGTTGCCTGGAGCTGCGAGTCTCCCCTCCTCCACCTTAGTCTCACAGGAACATGAAGCAGCTGAAGCCTGCTTTCCTAAGCCTGTGGCCGCAGAGTAGATTTTTAAAAAGTACAAAGACAAACTCTTGCATGCTTCCTCTGGTGTCAGCC